AAAGGTTCACGAAAAGTGAATCAAAGTGATAAATCGAGAAGCATGGTGAGGTGAATTTGGCAAATCATATATAAATATAAATATATATCGTTGAAATGAAATCCATACGTTTATTTTTTTAACAAAAGGATGCAATATATAGTGCATGTTTTAACGATAGACTATAAATACAAAACAAACAGATCAACTATATTTTCATTGAAAACGTAGTTAAATTTATATGAATTTCGCTATAGTGGCAGTCGATAACATTGATTTGCTTTTTAAATTATAATAATAACCTGTGACCCCAGGAGGGATGCTGGAGGGTGCTATCACTTGCTGAAGGTGAACCCCCAGACTAGTGGAGGGATGGAGCTTTCTTATTTCTCCACTTTATATACTCAAAGAAAAGTCTAACCACTGCCCATCTAATGTATATATGTAACATAGTGGTGTGGCAAAGCCAGCTCACAACTCACAAGTTTGGTTGTGCTATGTAATTATTTGATCTGTGTTCAATCACTACTAAAAAACAATATATTACAAATGAATGATGCTAATAATCTGAACATTAGTTAGCATTACCAAACTTGCAGGTTGGTTACATTATTGGTATCACATTCACAATAATATTTTTATCGGTTATTGAATAAAATAAGTTTTGTCAGTTGATGTCTTTGGCTAGGTTCCCCAGAATTTACAACCATTTCAGTGTAACTTTTTTCATATGTATGTAGTCGTATTGTCAAATATTCATCAGCCACACATTTTAACAATCATAATCGATGATCTTCTTCATTTAAGGGAAAATGTTGAGTCTTCGTGTTGAGGAGGAAGCAAATTTGTAGCAATCTGACTAAAGTGATTAAACAATTCTACCAGCATCTTTGTTTTCATATTTCTCTTGTTACTGACTTAATCAGAGTTTGGGCTTGCTATATATAATTTGAATATGTGCTCGGCATATTTAACCACATCAACTACAAAATTTTGATGGTGTTTTTAAACTTTTGTTATTTAGAAAATGAAGAAGTGATGGTTTGAATGCATTCATTGGTTTTATAGAATAATCATGTTCTGATGGAGCTAAAGGATTTGCTGTTCCAGTTAAGTTGGAAATACAAAAGGGACACTTGACTTTCTTTATTAACTTTGCAACAATAAAACCACTAATGTATTCCAAAATATTTTGGATGAACTCAGAATGTGGGTTGGATTTCAAAATATTGCAGAGCCTTTTACTTTCTTTATCTGTTTCTTGGATATTGTTGTGTTCTTGGCAGTGTGAATCTTGGTTTAATGGAGATGCATGCTTTTGATCGAAAGACAGGAATGATAACAGTATCATCAAAAACTTGACAATTTGCATTAGCTGATGCTATTACTGAATTTCCAAGAAGCATACTTTTTTCGAAGTGAATACTTGAGCTGGAGACTGTCTGGGTTATTGTTCCAACCACCTCTTGCCCTAATGCATGAGAACAGAAGCTCTATGTGATCTTGAGAGTATTTGTACGTCAGCACATACTTAAATGGATTTTCTGGCAATGTTAGCATCTGCTTCACCATTTCCAAGGTGGACTTTATACTTATTACAAATCCTAAGACAAATGTTTTGCGAGGATGCTTGATAATAGGTACTCCTTCATGTGATGTAAGACCAAGCAAATACTTTGCTGATGATTCGAGAATTGATTGCTATCCACTCATATTTGACAATGTTAGTAGTTTCTTAAAACCTTTACAATGAGGATTCCTTAAATGTAGTAAGTCAAAAAGTCTATCAATGTTTCTGATAAATGTAACAGTAGCTTCACTATTTTGGAACTGAAATCTTGACTGTTTTTGAACTATGTTCATGAAATCAATGGCATCTGCAACTGAGGCACTGAGTGTTTGAGCTGCCAAACTCACATTCATTTTGTGTTTCTCAAACTGGATGTGGTTATTTAATAATTAATTTGTTGGCAAGTGTTAGACTCTCTTGCTCTTGCAGTAAATTAAGAGCTTGGAAGAATTTCCATTGTATTTGATCTCCATCACTTGAACAGATCGTACCAAGAAATGCTAATGTATTTCTCGCAAGTTTCAGCATATGGCATGCATCTAATACAACAAAGACATCTTTGCCAGTTATAGGATGTTGAAACTTTGGTGAAAATTGAATCATAGGTACCAAAACTACATCCAAGTTTCTTGAAAGTGCTGGTCGTCGTCCCATCTGATGTAACACACCATATTTTCAGACAAGCATCACTTGCTTTGACCAGTGCAATGTTGATAAGCTGTGTTTGCACACTTGCAGCTTTGTCCGTAAGAAAGTAGCCAATTGGCTGTTTCCAAACCTTGTAATCCAAAAGTAAGAGAAACAAGAGCTTCGGATGCAACAAATTGAAGTGCATCTAATGGTCCATAGATGAAACCACTATATTTGTTTTTGACTGATTCCCACTGGACCTGTTTACGGATGGCCGTTGCATCCAAAACCAGGCAGCAATCTTTCTTGTTTTTGTCCAATTTTGCTTGCTCTTCCAAAATATGAAATGACTCACTTATAAAACCTGGTTCACAATTGACGTTGCTCGCCTACTTACGGATTAATGATGGTTGAGGAAAGGGCATAATTGATCGGACATATGTGTATGCTTTCGGAAAATAAAAGGAAGCAATGTTAATGCAAATTCCTTTGTTGCATTGTTATATCGTCTGTTGGTTGGTTTCAGTTTTGAATTATGGACCATGTTCCTGAATACTGATCTTTTTGAAACACATTTTTTGTTATTGAGACATTTCAGATTGAATTATTGGTGACTTTTCAAGGTGCAAGCTACTTCTTTCGTGTTCTTTATGGCAGATTCTTTTCTTCGTAATTTTTGTTGCAACAATTTTTTTTTTTACTTTTTTTTTAAATTGCATTTGAAGTTGTGGCAATAGCTAACGTTTGATTTTGGAATGCTGCAACTCCATGGATTGTGAAGAATGTTTACTTGTGCTGGTAGACTTTGCTCATGTAATGTGGTTGTGCTTGTAGTGAAAGGCACTGCAATAGTGCAGTAAATACTCCTCGATGTTATTTTGTACTGAATGAAAACTTTGGAATTGCTGAAAGTCCATTGAATCACCAAGAAGAGTACTGACGAGCTTAGTTAGATCTTGCCCATGTGTTGTGGTTACTTTTGTAGTGGAAGTCACTTCAATAGACTGTGGTAAGAATTCGTGGTTGACATGAAATGAATTTGCTAAAAATGGTTTGCATGTATATCTGATATTGTGTCTTGAGAACATAGGAAATTATTTGTACCAGGTTGGAATTTTCGGAAAACAGAAGGAATGGTATTAAATCTAAGTCTTGAGCTTTTTGGATGAGTAAAATCATGTTTTAAAAAACGTTTGCTGCAAATGAAGCTGGACTGGCTTGTTTCCATTTGTTTCTGTGTTTATCATCTTTTATAAAAGAATTCTCCCATTTAGCAAGCAATCCAGTATTCTTTAAAGAAAACCTAAAGTGAATGTATACATGGACACTGTTATCATAAATATATTAATGTAAATCAAGATAGTTTTGACATGACCAAACTGAAAACAATTGAGTTTGTTATTATTTTATATTCTCCTTTTGTTATATCATTTTGTTGTAATCTTTGATGCAAATGATTGTTGTATTAAAGTTTAGTGACAAAAGAATATCAGAATTATTGTACAAAGTCTTGATGCTTCATACACATTTTCAGTAGCCAGTCTGTGTAATTACTGTCTTACGTTAACAATGAAAAAGTTTCCTTCAAAGATTTAGTTAACTTGACTGGTCTTCATCAAATCTAAACATGTAGTCACTACTAGCATCTACTTTCTTAATATCAAAAGTCAACAAAGATGTATCTTCGTTAGGAAAAATGAGTCAAGTTTACTGGTAGTCAAGTTTCATTACGTTTATACTAAATAAAACATCATCAGCAATAAACAGTTAAAATTTTCGGAATAACGTGAGTATTCGACAAAATTTTAAGGATACTATATACTTTTTACTGTACACACAAATGTTTACAAAGTGAAAAACAGTTGTTTTCCTTTAATTTTTGACAAACCATGTTTTACAGTTATTTCGTATCTCGCTTGAAATACAGTTGTTAGAGAACATATATAAAAGTAATGACAAAGTCAACTAGTAGCTTTCCATAAACGTTGTCTTTCATTCCACTAACAATTTGATTGGACTTTCATATGCGCCATCTTTGTTTATTTTGAAAAATTGGTTTAAGAGAGCGAGTTTGAAAATGCATCTACTTAAAATTCATAATGGGCGTGGATAACATTAAATATTCATGAACAAACAAATTGAGACCAGTTCCTTTGTTAATTTTTATTAGGACAAAAATGATAGTAAGAAATTGTGTGAAATGGTATTGACAAAAAATTTACCTACCGATAAAAGAAATTTTCTCACCAAGTATTTTCATGCCATTTGCTTTCTTGTGCACCCAGGCACAACACAATAAATTGCATAAGTGAAAAACTTATCACTGTCTTTTCAGCAAGTTTTATTAAAACATATCCTTTCTCAACAAACCCGATAAAAATTTTTCCCATGAGTTGTCCGTTAGCGTGGCGTCGCTTTTCGCGATAGCGCTAGTGTGAAAAAATTTAAACTTATAGTGGCCGTGTAGGGTTTTGAAGTTAGGGGCAAACAAGCTTGTTCTATCAACCATGCTCACATATTATTCCAACATGTTGCAACGAGGTTGATCGTTTAGCAATCGTTAACAATCTTACATCAACAACAGTCCTTCTCAGGATTCTACTAACCTGGACGATCTACTGTACATCTACAATCATGTAATGTTATTGTTGTTAACAATTTAGGCCACTTCCTCATTAACAAGATCTCGTTAACGCATTGTTGAATCAACAATATTCGCATTTGTTTACAAGAATTATCGCGTATAATAACAACTTCAACAACCTTCAGTGATTGGAGTTGATTTTACCTTTACTTTGTGTAAATCAAAGTATAAGAGACATGCATGCAAAATGGCTACCACCGCAGTCCAAGAAAAACACGTGGAACATGGAGCAAACAACCCGATTAATTATGAAAATAAAAACAGTAATGAAGACGATATTAAAAGCGGTATGACTAAAAATTTAAATTAAAGAGATTTTTTTCATCATTACAATAGGCTAAATAAATTAAACGCATTAATTTCACCAGCAGCTCGCCCATTCATAGCACAGCTATTACCTCTTCGTCAATCATCGTGGATTGTGACTTTCTCGAGGTCTTTTTACTTTTACTAGGGTTGAAAACGTTTTGAAAATATCCTTAGACGTGTTAGGAACTTAATATAAACATAGTTGATTAAGTAAATCAATGATTCTACTGTAGGTACTGAGATTGCTATCATCAGAAGCGTGCGGCTCTAGTGTATAAATGGAAGTCAGAATATCTTAAAATAATTGTAATTGAAATTCAAAACGCTTTTTAAACAATCCTATTTGTAAAATTTCTGCTTCAGAGTATTCTTTGAAATTTTTCAACTAACAAAATTATTGTTATTGGAAATCGTGGCCAGAGATTTGCCAGGCGGAAAGCGAATTTTCAATATGAACATAATAGCCCAACATAATACTTTTAAGAAAGCCATCACAATAATCAAATAGAGAAGGATTTATTAATTACGTTTCGTCTTTAACTTAAGACATCTTCAGATTAATTGAATTAATATATATACACGAGGTTTTAAATACAAGCATATAGTATGGGGTGTTAAATTACATGTAGAGGAGTAGGAAGTTTAGATGATGGAATAAGTGAGGATGGCGGTATATTAAAAGAGGGTGAAGGATTGAGTTGCCTTGAGTGTTAAGAGAGGGTTTAAGTTTGGATATAAGAGGCTTTCATGGATCATAAGGTCATAATTGTCGGAGGAGAAGAGAGAATTGAGAAATCATTAAAATCGGCAAGGTGAGATGTATTTTATATGAGAAAGAACTGCAGATGGTGGTGGACATAAGGAAGGCTTCCCTGTTAGAGAGATTCCCAAGTGTTCTGATATTCTGGTGTGTAAATGACGTGGTTTGACCCACATACGATGCAGAGCAGCATCGACACTTAAATGAGTATACAACACCAGATCTCAGGAGCTTGGGAACCCTATCCTTAAAAGGAAAGAAAGAGGAGAGACGCCTGGAAGAACGAAAACAAAGCGAACGCTGATATGAGGAAAGGCAGCATTGCAGAGTCGAGTGATTTGAGTGCGAATCTGAAGACAGTGTAGGCCAGTGAAAGGGAGACAGAAGTACATGATTTTCTTAGGAGCAGTGTGAATAAGATCTTTGGGTTCAAATGTATTGTTGAGGAAGCGGTGAACATGATTGTCAAATATGTATGAAGGGAAGTTGTTTAAGGTGAACAATTTTCTAACGACTTCTAGTTCGGTATGAAAGTGCTCATAGCTGGAGCAGAGGTTGAAAATTCTGTGAAGTAAAGAGGAGATCAAGGAGCGTTTGTATTGAATGGGAATGAAACTATGGAAATTGGTGAAAAGACCAGTGAAAGTGGGTTTACGATACACGGAGGTGGAAAACTTGCCGTTAGAGCGAGTTATTTTTACGTCAAGAAAGGGGAGCGTGTTGTCTTTTTCCAATTCAGATGTAAAGGAGATGTTAGGATGTTGGTGGTTGAGATAGGTAAACGAAAGGTAATTAATAAATCCTTCTCTATATGATTATTGTGATGGCTTTCTTAAAAGTATTATGTTGGGCTATTATGTTCATATTGAAAATATTGTTATTGGATTTTGAATTTAAAATGATGTGCTGAAATGTATTCTGACTTACCCCAGGTCTGCTACTGGATATTATTTGTTTGCACTGTCCTTATTTATGCTGTTAGCACTTTGTATTTACAGGAACAAAAGATGGAAATCCTGGTTGGGCTGATGCCATGGCGAGGATTTTGACCAAACAAATACCTGAAGACAAGGTATACATAAGATTTTTAAATACCCATAAGCAATTTGGTTTTATAAGAGGTATTAAAACTAAGTTGCTTATGGCTATTTAAAAATTTATCTGTTGGGGTGTAATGCTAATATTGAGAACATATATGTTTACTGCCAACAGTAAACATATAAAAATTATTGTGTCTTTTTTTCCTTTTAACTTGCTTTTTAGCCAGTAGTTTTGAGCAAATACAAAAAAGTGGAAACAGAAAGGAAGCAAAAGCAGGAGGAAATTTTAAAGCAAAAGGTACATTTTTGCTTGGTCAGTCCAATAGTTGTCACCAAATAATTTTATCATGTGCATACCATGGACATCAATTCAACATTGATTGAGAGGGAGAATATTCGTATATTCTATTGTGTCAGGTTGACTTTTTTTCGAAAGTGAAGTTCTTTTGAAAAGAAATTAGCCAGGCTTAGCAGAATATGTTTATATCCCCTTAGATATCTGGAGCTACTTTTGTCTTGCAAATGTGTATCTCAGATTTATAATTGGATTATTCAAATATTTGGATTGTAACTGCTGGTGTTTGTAGTCAGCTACCATAATATCACTATTTATCTAAGAAGTAGGCAATAACTCAACAAATATGGTAAATTGGACAATAGTAACTCTCATGTTATCTAAAAACATAAATACAATATAAATGTAAAAATGACAATGGTGGATTTTATTAAAAGTGTTTATGACAGTGAACAGAAAGTTTTTATTCTCAAGCACAGTTTCTGAGAAGCTTTTGCATTTATACATTCAGAATAGCTCTGATAACATTGGAGAAAAATTATTAAATTTGTGATTATTTTCATCATTATATGGAGACAAAATTCTTGATGTTATGAAGCAGAGGCCAAAGCATTGAATGCATTATTAGTGTACACAGGTTCTTGCAGGAACATATTTAATGAGTTGTTGAAATCTTTTTTCAATATATTAAAATTATCTAAATCTAAATTTTACAAAAAATCTTTGAAGACACTATTAATACTTAAGTTTAGTCTTTCATCAACATTTTTATCAATACAGCTCATCACCCAAGAAAAGCATGAGGCAAGGGAGAAGAATCATGTGAAACCGGCACCTAGTAATGATGAGAAGGAAAGAAACTTAAAGAGAATTGCTACTAAGGGAGGTTCGTTTTCTAGTTTATTCAACTAAACTGTTCTTGCAAGCACCTGTCACTTTATTTCAACTTGTCCTGCTAATAATCCTAAATACCCTTCAGTTATAATCTTAGTGAAATGTTAGAGAAAAGATAAGCAGGATCTTCTGACTATCTGGGCTTTAGGTGTTTAAGTACAGCCCAATTTTAATTGCGAATTAAGTTTCAGCAAACGAGTGCAGTTCATCAGCACCTGCACTCCAATTTCACTAATCCTAATGTGTAACGACATCGGCCTACATGTGTTTTGCTGCAAATTTACAGCAAATTAAAACCTTGACACAATGTGATCAAAATATTGAGAGAAGCAATTTTTTGCAGTTGTGAAGTTATTTAATGCTGTCAACAAACACCAGGAGGATCTTGATGTGAAACTTAAATCGGCTCCAACTGAAGCGAAGAAGGTTAAAGGTTGGTTAGCAATTTTCTAACAGCAATAAATGCAATGGCTTTGTGCCTCCTGCCAGGCTGCTATACTTGGGTGTCAAGCTACGTCATAGCCGCAATGTTGGATGATTTTAACAAAGGATTTCCTTATTTACAATGCAAATTTCATCCAACATGGCAAGCAGTCGATTGTTCTTTTACTCCCAAGGGGGGGGGGATTGCAACCCACCTATAGGTAAAATGTTTTTCTTAGTGTATTTACCTCATGATTTAAACCATCTACTGTGGTGACTCTCAGATTACTTCTGATTTGACTCTGAAGACGACTACCGCTAAGGTTGTCAAAATGTCAGTCAACATCAACACCAACAACATTCCTTCTCAGGACTCTTCTAACCTGGACGAGTACATCTATTAACATGTAACGATACTCCCGGATTCAAACCATTTACTTTACTCAGATGATTTAGTTCATAATTTGTGACTCACAGAATAAATCTAGATGGTTGTTATCATGGCCATACGTAAACTTGGACGGTATGTCAAGTCAGTCAACATGATTTCTTTAATAATTTGTGATTGATTAGTTACTTTAAAGTCGGTGCAAGTAAATCAGTAGTTTGTTGTCACGACTGTGCAGTCGAGTAGTTAGTGAAGTGGATTGCGCATGCTCAGATAAGCTTTCTTATTAATTGTGACCCAGTGGGCTAAGTACTCTCAGTGCAGTGCAAGGAGATCCAGTTGATAGGTATGAACTTGAGTATTGGTTGAGTGGACTGTGCTATTATTTGGTCATATGTTATTGCCTGCGTAATGTTGTCTGTCGTCTTCAGTTTGTTTCAACAAATGCATTTTGAAACTCTTTACCTCAATGACCGTTATTGGCCTGACGTCCTTCACTGTGCGTAAAAGCAAACTAGGCAGTACTTAAACATAGATTTTAAACTTTGTACAAAAATGAAATAGCTTTTGTGTGAACCGTTAACAACAAGACCGCAATTGGTTGTTTACGTGGACTATAGCTTGTGAAAGGTTTTATTTAAAAATGTTTTATTTGCCATGAAGTCAATGGATATTTGCCTCATGATAGCTACGTACATGAATCGAAATTAAATGTGTGGAAGTTAATGGAAAAATGAGATAAATTCTTGAAGCATTTTATAGTTGATTTAAATTACAAGTCAAAAACAATGTTTTTTTAACTTTGCATTATCCTTGGATCCCTAGTTTTCTTTATATCTGAGTATTGAATGCAACAAGAGGTTAAAATATTAATTTGAGAACATCACATGTTGTACATGCGTTTGTTCATATTTGTGTAATTGAAAGAAATTATGGAAGTCAGCACGAATGAGTATTCTTAGTTGTGGTTAAGTGATGAAGAAAAGCTGTCTTATTGTGTATATTTTTGTCTATTTAAAGTGATGAAGTCTGTCTCCAAATCAAGTTTTCTGGACATGTTGAAGCATGATTCTAGTGATGTGACTCCATCTCATCAGCAAGTATGTACATATAACTGGCGTGTTCTATAATTTTTTATAAAATTGCTGGTTTCAATTGTTTGTTTTTGATGTACGTACGCGCTGTACTGCAGTTTCATGCACGTTGAAAGATTTTCTTTTGCTACATTTTTTCCCTTAGTGGTGCCCTCATTTATGTCTCATTATGTTTTAGACATGATCTTGTGGAGGCCTTTCAATTACTTGCATGATTCTGAATGTTTTATCTCAGTTAACTTTAATACCCTGTTACGGGTATGATGAGATCGCTAACAACTGCAGCAAAAATAAAATCACGACTTTAATTTAAACTGTCATCATGCAAATGCAGTTCTTAAATATCATTCTTAAATAGTAAAATAGAGACTTTGTCGTGGTGATAAATCTGAAAATCGTTTTAAAGATCGCCAATACCACGGTGAATGGCAAAAGTAATAGATTAATAGTTCTTGAAAAGAACTGTTTTAAGCACAGAACACTAACCCAATAGTTCTAAAACAACTGTTATGAAACTAACAGATACGATGCATTTCGGCTGACTACTCCTCAGGTATCAATGTCTGCTAAAGGAAAATTTAAAATCGACCAATATTTATAATGTCAAAAGTGTGCGTCATCTCCAATAGGGAGACGACGCTCAAAACAGGGATAAATTGAAAACATAATCCTTTTGTCGGCAGAGGACGGGATTGGTTCACTTAATTAAAACAGCCTCCATGACGCGTAACTGAAGAATGAACTTCATTTCTTAATAATCCTAAAACTGTCGTCTGAATAAGAATCAGCACAATGAGAGCTACTAAAGAAATGTTTGCCTATCGCGGAGTCACATGAAGCTAAATTATTTTTCTTACAATCACGTTTTGATTGTTGTCGTAAGGGAACCGTTCTATTTCTGATAACTTAACCATTGAGACGTTCTACCTACATAGCGAGCATCACACTCACATTTGTATTCCTAAACTACATTGCTTAAAAGTTCCGCCGACAATGATTATTTGGGGGTGGGTTGTAGAATAGTTTTTTCGAAAATATAAAGATAACGTTACTCGCGAAAAACAAGTATTCTGTAATATTCTTAGTTTCCTCTCAATATCATTAGAAGCCTTACAAAAATGAGCGGGAAGGCTTTTCGACCATTTAAGTGCCCTGTGTTTATCAAACTTCCGTGTATGGGTAAGGCTTCTAATGATATCTCTACTCTTGTCCTCTGCCGACGAAAAGATTATGTTTTCAATTTATCCCTGTTTTGAGCGTCATCCCCTTTTGGAGATGACGTACAATCTTTCTTGGCATTAAATATCGGTAGACTTTAAATTTTCATTTAGCGGACGTTGACACCGGAGGAGAAGTCTGCCGAAATGCATAGTGTCGTTTAGTTTCATAACAGTTTTTTTAGAACAATTGGGTTAGTGTTCTTTGCTGAACTATTAGTCGGGCAGATAGGTGAGGAAAATTGAGTAAAAACTTACCATACCAAGGGGCAATTTCACTTTACGCTAGAATTTTAGTTCAACACCTTTAAAAACTATCTACAATAAGTCGGCGAGCAAAAATGTTCTTTAGAAGGCCAACTTATAACTTTAACTGAAAGCGTTTGTTTTGTTTTGAGAAGCGCCATCATTTTTGAATAAGTTTGCAGGAAGAAGTGAGACTTTGGTATTTTGATCAGCGGTAGTAGGCATACTTCATATAAACCACCTAGATATTATATGTTTACCGGGCATGTTGTACTGGTTGTATGTTTTAAAAATACGATTTTTAAAGCCACTTGTTTGACTTATCATGTCTAAAAAACGAGAAAAAACATAGTTTGAAGTAGGGGCGGATACAGACCAAACGTTTGCCTGACAAACGACCTCTCGAGCATGTGCAATCCTCGACCTTCGGTCTCGGGCTTGCACTGATCTGCTCTCGAGTTCTCCCAAAGGTCTCCTTAGTTTGCATAAGCCTGTGCAAACACAGTAAATATCTTCTATTTCTTAAATGAAGCACAAATTTAAAGCATAATGGAATTGCCCCTCGATACGGTAAGTTTTTTCTCTTCCATCTGCCTGGCTTTATATTTCGAGGTCATATTTTCACGTCAACCTATAACACAATATAAACAATTAAATATTTCCGTGGAGTAACATTAAATTCCTTTAAATATTTTTTTATAGGAGGAAACTAAAAAAGATGGATTGTCTAGATGGAATATACTTAAAGATGATTTTATGATTGGGGGAACGATGAAAGACTGGGACAAAGACGATATAGAATATGAGGATGAAGTAAACCAACCTGTCGATGACGAGAATGATGAACATATTGACTGAAAGCTCACTAAAATTCACCGACGGAATTTATCAAATAGACTTCACGCATGGCATTGTTGAAATGCTTGTTGAAAGTTCGTGCGGCTTTGACGAATCATGTAATGAAAATGTCAGTGTCGTTGATAGACTCACCCAAGTACCAGCCCTCACTTTTGGCTCACAAAGTAGTCAGCAAAAGAGTTAATCGTTTTTTGTAAGCTTAGAAACTGCATCACTTATCACTAAACAAGTAATGACGTAGTTAAAAAAAGCTTACAGGCACATTCCCCATTTTTATGTAGCTATGTATCATGTTTGTCATATTACACTAAGCTCAAGAGAATTGCCTTGTATTATATGATGTTTTATTAAAGTTTTGCAGCTACAGTAAATATATACTGTCCATTATTGTCACCATGAATGTTTCATTAAGAAAAGGAAAATGTGTGTGTTTACATTGAAGTAATGTGGACTCCTCAAAAGCATACTGTTACATAATAAGTTATTATGTTAAAGTCAGTATTGTGCCGTGTAGTTTTGGAAAATCAAATGCCTTACACTGCCGGAAAACGCTCTTTTTGGGTTATTATTTCAAAGTTATACAACAATCACGCCCATTACAACGTTTTTAAATTTTCATTTTAAATATCATTCAGTCTTGGACTGTTTCGCCCTATGTCTGGGCTCATCAGCATTCTAGGAAACGCATACACACTTAATTCATGTACATAAGTATAAAAATGTGATTCCGACACCTTTTAATGAGCATTCTGGTTTTAACACACCAGATTCTCGCTCGAAAAATGAAGAGCCCGCAGTTAATAATAGACCACCGCAATATTAAAAATGCAAATACTTAATGTTACTGCTTGCTTTTGAGAAGGAAGAAAAGAAATATAAAATTAACACAAATGTCGTAAAACTCTTTTATTTATAGAATGATCTTATTTTGAGTTGTTTGCGGCGAAGGAACGTCACCAGTTGTGCAATGGCTGACGAACCTTGTGCAATACCGCCAACACAGGTTGGGCGCTACAAGCGACGCACATAGACAGATGTTGTGAACCTCTCCCCCAAGGAACGATGGACGTGAAAAGACCGTCAGAAGCGGTAGGAAAAAATTGTGAAACACAAAGAGGACATAGACAACATAGAGGACCTTACTGAGAGCAGCAGCTCAATTCGATGATGGCATTTACACGCCCAACAAGATCGCCGATACAAAGAGAGGGTGATCAGGCAGTACTTCCAATTAAAGCGACCCCCATCACAACCACTAGACAAAACACGACAGATCAGGTGGCAACATCGCTGAGAAAGACAAACGACCCGTCCGTATGTAGATTTGTAATAAGACTATGGACCAACCACTGCGTCTGGAAAACATGAGGTGTAGTGTGCCGTTGCTAAATCCTGATCATGAAACGACGGGGTGCCTTGCAGCGACGAGGGTCGAAGACAGGATATGATGGTCATCTGTCGTTGCGGCAACGAATAAATTGGCAGGGCATGACCCCCAGGACGGCAGTGAAGACGATGGGCATCTTGTTTGACAAACGAAAGCCAAAAAGCAGTGAGCTAATTGTAAGATGCAAGGACAAACGATAGTCTTGCATCAATGGCGGAAACCAGTCCTACAGTTCAGCACCAAATAAACGGTCTGAAATTTTTAAATATTTCTTAGCTAAATCAACCACCTGCAAACTTCCCACCTAAGGATTATCTTCTCTTCGATGACTGCAGATAGCTCCTGAAAAACGGTTTTAGCATTGCTTAAAGCCACTGGTTTTGTCATGCGGTCTTCGCAGATTTCCCTATAACACGATCTGTGGTAAAATTACTCCTTTGCTAAAATCGTTGCCATTCTGAATTCTCAACCTGTTTGCAAATGTGTAAAATGTAATGATAGAGCAGCATTGTGCAAAGATCGTGCACCATTCTCAGTCTAACATTTTTCAATTGCTCATAACCACTTCCACCTTTTGCTATTTTTTTCCTTCCACCTCCACAACACTCCTGATTTGCCAATATCTTACCTATACATATGTTAACATAAGTAACTCAATGAACTGTAAGTGTTAATTATAATTAGCATCTTACTTATACATTGGCACGTTATACCTCTTCGATCTGTTTTTCTTAATGACTTTCGCTGTCGCTCACGTATAGGCTTTTTGATTTTTAACTTGCTGTGAGCATATTTTTTATAACATTTTCGATGATACCAGTACTCTGGCGAGGAAAGATCTTTCCCAAAAGAATCGATTATGGCAATAACTTTCTTATCGTCACGTTTCTTTGCAGCTTTGTAAATAGATTTTTTGGACGTTTCAAAGAACCCAATAATCGATTCACGCGGACTCTTTTCACTGCACTGAAGAATGCACCCGATAAATGTTTCATTTGATGTAGAGTTTTTTTTGTGCTTTTGTCGGCGAAGTACTCACATCAACTTCAAACTGTGTGTTTTTGTTTTTCTAGACATGATTAATCAGACAAGGGGCTTTAAAAATCGTATTTTTAAAGCATGCAAAGCATGAATTACAATGCTATATTCATGATAATAGACATAGTTTAGTCTCAAACGTTTTGTTCAATCATTTACAGTTTTTCTTTTGCCTGAACTTAAAATATAGATGTAACAACTAAAAAGATACAAGTCAAGTGGAGCCTTCGTACTTTAAGTAAGGAATTTTATTACGTACAATATTAGCATCTTGGTATCATGAAGAAGTTAGAAGGTTTTTTTGGTGTAAATCAACATGTAACAATTTTTAACTATGGTTCTATAATATCGCGCGTACTGTCTTCTTGTAACTGTTAATTGGGTTCAGAGTTAAATATCCATGTTCGAGGACTTTTTGATCAAACCAGCTGAAACCTGTGGAAATATAATAAACTATGAAAAGGGGAAAGCTGTGAGATAAAATTTCATTTGCTTTCATCACAGAATTTGATCATTATATTTTATTTTTCTTAACCTTGGAACCTAACCCTAACCATTTCCCTAACCCTAACCCTAACCATTTCCCCAACCCCAACCCTCACCATTTTGGTGATTTTGAATTTTATAAAGTTTTCTTTTGCATCTGGTGTGTGTCACCCTTTGTTTGAAAAGTAGGAAGTTTCCTGAAAAACAAATACGACTAACCTGTTCACGCTTTTTCATAAAACTCAAACCCAACAATAATACAACAAATGTTACCAAAATAAAAACTGCATAGATTAAAATCATAATCATCATAAGCTCCTCTAAAAGAAAGAATCATAATATTCAGTACTACTGAATGCTATTGAAAACAACACTATACATTTATAAAGTTTATAATGTTTATGTATGTAACAGGAGTTTCGTTTTTTGTTTTACTTAACCCATATAAACGTAGAACAAACTGGATACATAGATTTAATGACATGTAAAAGCCAAATATTAATAGCAACTATGATATAAATTTTGCTTTCGCTGTATGTTTGGTGTTTGCATCTTTGCCCTGCAACGTAGGCTATTGGGTCATTTGTTTCCTTATTTCCAGAATGGTAAACACCTTCGGCTTTTATTACGAAGTTCCGTATTAAATTCAATTTAATTTTAAGTTAACATTTAAGAGTTAATATGACTTTATCAGGACAGACGATGAACCAATTAGCAACTGCTGCTCAAAAAATATTCATTTACTTTGAAGGATGTAGTCATAGCCCAATTTTGTAAAGCTTTTCCATTTTATTGCATTGTTGACAAACTGCACAACAGCAAGCATCAACGATGTTAAGCACGATCCAATTGTAACAGTTATCTATAATTGCAGAAAAATTCGATTTTATCCAAATGTTTACTTTCATAGGCATTTCCACCATTGTTTTGTCGCAATATTTTCTACCTGGCTATTGAAGAAACTTTGTGTCTGGCTGGTGAACATGGAACAAAATGGTGATCAAAGAAAAGTATAAGTAGCTAAATACGCCGAATGGATTCATATAACATTTACTATAACCTTTTGCCTTCCATTACTTGGCTACGGCCGAGATATTGATTTAGACGAGGGACTAACATTGTTACCCAAAATCAATCTAAAATTAATCAGAATCTTAGTAAACGCCCAAGTTTGCTTACGTAGCAAATTGTAAAGCTTTTGTGTGCCCACACAAAATTCCGGTATATAGTCAGGGAGCAAATGTAGTCCCGTAGGAAATCGATGCTTAAAGCAAGCCGCTTGACATTTTGGATTTAAGAGACCTCAAACAGCAAGAAAATACATGTTGCCAAGTTTGCAACTTGCACCCTTAATAAGCTAGACTAACCTAGAGAAACTCCATATGGAAACGAGGCTGTAGCAAAAAATCTTATTAGCTTTGTTGTTTTTACATAAAATCTCGAGAAAAAAGTGTCACAATAATCAAGTTACAGTCTATCATTATAACATTAGTAACTTAAAATACTTCCAAACTTGTAATTATAATTTTCTTTTTTTAGTTATTGTAACACTGTCACTATCCATATGTAAAATCATTGATAAAAAGTTATAACTCACTTATTCACAAACACAATAGCAATAGCAATGTTTGCCTTGAACATGGCAGCAACGATACATTTTAGAAGGATAAATTTCAGTCAATTGTCGTTGTCCACCCAAAAGAAGTCGGCTGTCCTGAAGAATGTTCTCACATTCGCTACAACCACATAATTCAGTACAGCTTAAACTTCTTTGAGATCCTTCTTTTGGTAGATTGTCATTGCAGTTCCGTGAAGAGTTCTTTTATCATGAGGAGTATCTTCTGAAAAATCTACGTTGTCTATTGCAAAGAATACATGTCGTCTGATTACTGTATCTGGGGATATAGACTCCAGCATTCTCTGAATGACGTGTTTTTCGATGCAGGCTTCTTCTCTGAGAAGTTTGTTGTATTCCACTGACAGTCCGAAGCCATGTAAGAAATTCATAATCTAAAATTAAATGGAATATTTATGATTTTAGAGAGTGAACTACAGAAGCATTTGGTATTAGATCCTAACATTGGAAGTAACAGCACAATTTCTATCTCTTTGCTCCTTGTTAAATGATGTATAGTCAATCTATCAGTAAATTGTTGAGGTATTTCTTTAGCAAAGATTAGAGCTTTAGATTCTGTGTTTTTTGCTTGTCTTTCGGTCAGGGTCGTTGAAATTGTGCTTTGCACTAAGCTAATTATGCGCTTGTGCACTTCGGTAGACTTGTTTCCTAAAAACAGAAAACCTGTTACATGTTAGCTTGAAAATAATTATAAATTTCTGATCAAGGGAAAGCTGCCTCGCTATAAATAGAAAAGAAACTTCAAAAACAACGTTTTAAAGCAATGGCACGGGTATGTGCTTCCCAGTTTCCTACTATATTTTCAAGTAGCTTCATCCTTAAAAACATTTATGAGGTAAACGAGTCTACCTGTAATATGGAAATTCTTTGGACCTTTAATAAACCATTTGGAAAAGTATTATAGAGTTCTTTGGGAAGATGCATATCATTCACGTCATAAATTAACCTCAAAATTTCCATTTCTCTGATTTGTTGATGCATTTTCTAAGAATCAATGCAGCATGATAAATGGTCTTCATTCATTCTCTTTGATAAATACGTGTTCTGATGATTCAAGCACTGATTCGTCTCCAGTTCTTTTGAATGTTAAAATCCAGGTTTATTCATATATTTAGGTCTATGAAATTCTACATCTGGGATTTCTGTCAATACCAGTTGCTTTAACATTTTCCTGCTGCACGCTGGGCTGGGCATTCCATTTTCACGTAAAATGTTTGTATACAAAGCCTTTACGTTTGCGATACTTAGAAGTTTTCTTTGGGTTGATTCCGTTATATCAATAAATTCCATTTTTGCTGCTGTATTGGAGTTGTCACGATTAGATATGAACTTTGATTGGCGTAACACACTTGTGACGTTATTTACATAACATTTACTGTGATATTTAATATCTATCGCATGCACATCACTGCTATCAATGGCTGTTGACAACTTGATTCGTAATCTTTCATTACTCGAAATGTCAATCACCTCTTTTATAGACTTCCCTGCAGATGTAATGCTCACTGAATGTAAGGTTTCTTAATAACTTGCTGCTTTGTTGCAGAAAAAAACATACATCTTTGTTATGGGGTGATGTTTGGGATCGAGTCAAGTTGTTTGCTTCAACCTTTCGTTTAGGAGTTATATTTTATTCTGATTCACTTTTATACCTTGCCTGAATCCTTTTCAACTTTCCAACATGAACAAGATCTTGGTAACATTTTCAAAGCCAAGTAGTTTTATTTGATGCTAGATAGTGAGGAGTCGTGTGTTACAACATATTCCAAACGTCAGAGTACTAACAAACTCTATACTTAATTGTTTGTTCCAAAAAGGTCAAAAGCTTTCGTGTGAAACTGGATTTTGAACTAAATCAACTCCAGTTTCTTTTTGGCACAGAAGACAAATCTTGAGTTTTAACTTTTTCTCTTGCGTACTTGTCTTATTATGTAAAAAAAAAGTTACTTATTCTTTTGCAGAGATTTAGAAAAAATATTGCGAAGTAATTGTTAGACTTCTATTACTTAATCTTATATCAGTTGATTTGGACGCATAAATAATTCTTTAAAGTCACACAGACTTTTTGAGGCAGCTTCAATTAGGGTGCAGGTTAAATTATTGACAACATGTATTTTCTTTTTATTTTAGACCTATTAAATGCATCCAGGTTAATAGTTTGCTTTAAGCATCGATTTCTTACGGGAACAAATTTTTTTACATTTGCTCCTTGACTAATATAACTGTTTTAGTGTGGTTCCTAAAACTTGATTTAAGATCACTTTTACCTAAAATGTTAAGATCCAGGGGCGGACCCAGGATTTTTTTTGTTAGTGAAAATGGCCAGAAGCGTTCGCTGCCTAGGAGGCATCCGGGGGCATGCACTGCCCCTGAAAAGAGTTTTCAAAAACTAGCTTATGACTATGGAACTTAAGCCGTTTCGCTCAATGTCAGAGCTCATCAGCATACCTAGGATGCATTTGATGAATGCACTTTATATTCACTGTAGCATCCGACATTGACAGCCATGTCTTTGCAAACCCAACCTTAACAAATTCTTCGTGATGAGCCACGATAATAAGCAGTTGTGAGCATGCTTCCTATTACTGAAGACACACCATCAAAACACAAAACATGCTTAAGTCCATGACAAACGTGGAATGTAGTACACAGATCTTGCAACAATAGAAGAAAAAACAACCTACATCTTTAAACAAAACAAAGTATAGATTTTCGAGTACAATCGTTCATATGAAATAAGCTTCGAGTAAAATAGTAAACGCTTATGCTGGTTGAAGCATGTGAGGTAGTAATTTCTTTTCAAGCAAGATGTATATTTATAGAAGTGAGAACTGTCGATATAAGTTAATGTTTTATGTAATGGAATGAAATGGAGTGAAATAAAAACGGTTTTCTCTTTCAGCTAAAATCCAATTCAATCTTCCTCTTATCCTTTGCAAACAAATCAATAACTTTTCGAGTATCCAACTCTATGTCATTGTGAATGTAAAGCAACGCCAAACCATTTAAACGAGTCTCAACCATCGTACTTCGACTATACTCTTTAAGTCTCCTTAAAGCTGAAAACGGTCTCTCACACTTACAAGAGGTTACGAGAATTATTTCTAAAATTCTTAACAAAACTTTGATATTCTCAAACCCTAGAAAGTTAATGGCTTTTAGGGCTTAACTAATATTATCAGGAAGACTATCTTGCTCCTTAGATTTCCAATATGTTTCCCACAGTTCAAACTCACCATCCAAAGCAATAGGATTTGAAAGATCATCAGTAAGCATGGTAGCAAATAAAGTGAACTTATCCTGCCAGCGTGCGGACCCAGACTTGGAATGAGAGAGAAAAGAAATTAATTTGAATGGAATTAGATATAAACCATAGTAAACATTAGTAGAAGATTCTTTAAATCTTCTGGCTAACTCAAATTTAAATGATCGACTACAGGAATCGTGATAGATCTCTTATAGTAATCTGAAGTGCAGTCAGCAATGATGTTGCTGCGATTTATCTGACGATGACAAGTACGAGGTTTACCTTCTTCAACATTGACCTTCGCTGCTAAGTCTAAAGCAATATTATACCATCTAGTATGATAAAGACATCATCAACACACAATCCATACATGCAACAACATGTTTGCAAACCTTATTGCAATTAAATCCAAATTGTTGTCCTTGGCAGCAACAGAGATGAAATTGTCCACGTTGATGTTACGATAGATATCCACCCCGATACGTTGCGCTAAGTTCTTCTCCGTGTAAATTTTGCGAGATCGCAAAGACGATAATAATTCCTCGTAAATCGACACCAAAGTTTCTACATCTTTGCTAGATAAAGCGCTGCTAACACGATGTTGAAATAACGCCATCCTCAATTAATGTCTAGATCTAGCTACAAAAAATTCGACTGATCGACGTACAAGTGCATGAGGATTTTTTGTTCTGCTGGATTTCCACATAAAACTGCGCCGAATTTTGGTAAAAACGAAGGCTCAACAACATGCAAAATGACGTATGTCATGATTTTGACCAATCAGATGTTAAGTTTAAGCTTACCCATACCTTAACTTAGTCAAAACTTGCAGGCAAAGACGTAGTTAATTAATGATTCATCATTCATATTATAAATAGAATATTATATCTTCGGCTTTCGGCTTAACGATCATACTTCATGTAATTTACTTATAGTAATATCAGTATGGCAGAGACAAGCAATATGTACGATAAATATAACACGCTTCGAACTTATTAGATTTGTCTAACAAATTAAATTTAGAAGTTGCAGGTCGTGATGGATCTATGAAAAAGGAAAGTAAATTTACTATTACATGAATTTTTCAACCACGTCATGCGACGTATTTGACGTAGTCTGGATCCGCCCCTGTTAGGATGACATACGCATTTTACGACAAAGGTGCGTTTTATTTTGGATTTCTAGTTTGATGGATCTAAATTTTCAGTTTTATCTTGTAGTGTGCTCGATTTTGGTCGAAAAACATCTAGCTGGATTCTTGAATGCGCTTCATGAAAAGAGTTTTTAAAACAAAGGTTGCTTTATATTTTTACATGAAAGATATCCTATGGCAGTTGTTGTTTTGGATAGTTATAATCATAATTGCAGCATGTTTTCATTTGAAACGTCATATTTTATTAGCATATACCGACATATATACATACCAAATGTTCCCTTTCTTCGTATCCATTCAACATGCACAGCAACCCAGGCCAAACAAACTGTAAATATAAAAGTTTGGATCAACGCATCAATTTCATGTTGATCATAAATATGAAAATTTAATATGTTTTGCTTTACTTCAATGATAAATGGTTTCGTTCAAGTCGCAAGTAATTAAAGTCTTAGATGCAAACTAATGCTATGTATATATATTTGTTACACTAAAGCTATTTCTTTTTCATTTATGTGACTTCTTGAGAATTATTATACGTTTACCCTCAAAGTATAATTTCAATTACGGCTACAGGAGCAAGAAGTGCTTACTGTAGTATAGGCTGCATTACTATATTGAAAATTCTTTGAACATGTACAATCCCCTTAGGGGAACGTATATCACACGGACTACACTTTCTTGTGAAATTTTTCCGCCATAAGATCCTTTGTTATTAATTTAAAAGAAATGTCATTGTTCTATCATTTTCTTATCTTAAATATCAGAAGTACTTATAAATCATATTTATGAATTACAACGTGCGATCATAAATTTTCATGTTCACTATTGTTTGAAAAGTCAGGTAAATGCTCGTTTAATAATAACAGTTTGAAGGAATGTTCAATGCATATATATCTTTAAACAGTCTTCTCTTACAATTGATGAAACATAAAAACTTACGAAAACAGTTCGAAAGCCAAAAGCCTCATCATAGAACGCGTTTGATTGTAGTGCAATAACACCGCACAATGCTGAAGCTAGAAATAAGATCAACATCATGTAGCCACTTGCAAACATCAGTCGTCTTTGCAACAGAAGAGCGACCATTGTACAGTATTCTTTAATTGTTATAGTAATAATACAATAAGAAATAATACAGACAGAGCTTGTAACAAAGCTGTTAAAAATATTTATTGCGATCTTACTTATGAGCATGTATATTGTCTCTCTGTAATTGCGGTATTCATATAATCTTTCGTCATTCGTGTTTTGCTAACTTAACAAAGACACTCTTTATATATCTTTTCTATATTGTCTTAGAAACCAGAAACTATAGAGAGGCTAACTTCATTCATATATACTTTATAATTTAAACAATTTGCGTCCAAGCCACTACTGGCATTTATACATAGATATTTTCAAGATAACATCAACTCTTTCTGAAAAATATGTGAATATTTCGCAATCGGAAATCGTGAAACGAATATTCAAGAAATCTTACAATATTTAAATAATAAAGATTCTTTGAAAGACTTTACTTTATATTTATATTTTTTTTCATTGGATGAATCAACGTTTTTATATACCGGATTTACTAGTTGCTAAGGTTTTGCCAGCATAAGCATAGGACTTGATTGCATATTCTTTGCCTCAAAATCTCCCTATAATGGTGAGAAGACGCTTTGCACTGATTGTTTGATTTGAAATATATTAGAGAAAAACATGGAATGCATTGATGGAGAAATGAGTTGACCAATGATTAGTGCGATCAAGATTTATGATTCGCACTCAGCAAGTGAGAGCGTGTGTGTGTGTAGGCTTTTTGAAAACGGGATACAGTCTTAAGTCTTCAATTGTCCACGCTCTTAACAAAATATCGAGAATTCGCATGCATTACTTTTTAATTACTAAGCTGATGTAGTGTTACAACTTAGCTATACTCAATAATTAATATTGCATACAAAAAGACCAAAACTAGGTAATGAGATTACATGTACTATAGCTATCATCAAATTAAAACGAAACACATAATAAAATATAGCTACCGTTAAAACAAATGAATGAATGAATCAAACGAACATTTCGTACGCTAACTAATTTAAAAGTAGCTACTTCTCGGTAACACTATTTTAGCTAACTGCATATATTTTAACAGCCTTTTAATGTACCAATGGGCCGTGGAATCGATATGAGTTTGTCTCTCATAAATATGCATTTATACATCGTCCTCACGATTGGAGCTCTGCCTTGCATGCTCATTGACTTCATCGACTGCATTTTTTAGTCGTCTTTCTAAATGATGTAGAGCTTTCTTCAAACGCCTGTGTTTGAGCTTCAGATGCTCCAGATCATTTCGAAATGTAAAGACTCGACTGGGTAGACAAGACAACCACGCATAGCCGGAGGCGACACATACTGTTGCAAAACTAACACCTTTCAGGCCAGAGCCAATTGCCAGTTTTCTCAGCAAGCTTAAACCAGTGGATGGAATAGAATTTGCTAAGCTATCAACTGATGGTGAAGAATAGGTAATTTTATAGGCAGTGTAACAGGTTGCACCCCAACCAAGAAAACGGAGAACACGAGAAAAGTTTTTCAATACGCTCGTGATTTTTATTAGTTCTTCGATTGTCTCGTCTGCATCGGATAAAAAATCCTTACAGGACTCAATGATCATGTTTGCTTGACGAACGATTCTATTAAATTCAATCTCAATCGCTTTTCTACGGTAGTCAGAAGTTTCGCTGGTGATTTTTTCCATAAGATCACAAGCTTTTTCTACCAGTATAAACAAATTTTTTTTCCGAACTTCAAATTCTTTAAGGCATTCTTTGATATGCTCTTGCTTGGCTTTGTAAGCGTTTTCTGGCAGGTCTAGGACTTTGCAGGCTAGTTCAAGCAATCCCACAAGGGTGGTGTGAGAGCCAAGAGCTAAAAAAAGAACAGAATGTTCATTTTGTTAATGTTAAGCATCTGTGCATACATGGCGCTTAAAATACTTTTGAAGGAACTTTGAGAGAAATAATGCTTGTCAAAATTGATATCAGTTTGTCTCTTATTAATATGCATCTATACATCGTCCTCAAGACGGAGCTCACGAATGGATACATCGTCCTGACGATTAGAGAATTTATGCACGGAAGTTGTGATAATTAAAACTCCAGAAATTCTTATTTGCATTCACAACTTAGGGGGCGTGAAGGACACGATGACCTAGAACCCAGTCTACTACATACGTGTCTATGTCGAAATTCTAAAGTAATAAGTGAGGCTTACCACCATCTTGAAAAGTAACAAAACTGATACGACGTACGACTTATGTTTCATTTTTGAAATAGCTGATAGGATTGGCACTTTCTTTTAACTTATTATTGAGATTTTTGTCATTATTCAAAATGGCGTTCGTGCCTCATATAGAAACAATCAGGGGCGGATCTAGAGTATGTCAAATCCGTCGCGCGACTGATGTTTGAAACTCAAAAATTGCCTATTCATATTAGTTAAAAATTCATTAATTATTCTTACTTTATTATCGCATTTACTTCGTGATAAAAATCCAGCTTTATTTATTATTGAAAAGTAATGACTAATCCAATGAATATCTCCTTGGTAACCAGATCAGTTGAATTTTAATTGACCTGGAATAACCGACTGATAAGCGGGGTGGCTTGACTGGTTCGACTTATAAAGGAGTCTATGAACGCGAGAAACGCTATTTTATTGGTCAATGGCCAGATCAGTGGACAGTCTGGAATAATCTCGACCGATAATAGGGGTGGCCGGACCTATAAGGGAGTCCACTTGCTATCGTGTAATTGGTTCGTTTAAATTTTTGTCTTACTGTTTTGGGTTTGACCAATTTCGACTTATAGCCAACTGAACTAACATAGTCAAGCTCACTGTCTGAATTGAATGTTAATGTATGGATGAATTGTAAATGCTTGGCAAAGACGATCTCGCGAGCGACATTTCAGTCATTGATGTTCAAAAGCAAGCCAACATTGTTTTGAGTTTTATCAGCAGAAATTTACATCCAAAATCGTAAGTAAAGGACAAGTGAAGTGTATACATGAATGTAATATATCAAAGTCAATTTATGCGAGTGTGTGATGCGATTTATGTTAATATGGCGTATGGTAAACAGATTGATGCTTCTAAAATTGTTGTTGCCGAAGGACTTTTAGCTATGATTTCTTTAGTGCTTAGGGAATCGTGACCGTATATGGCAGCGAAATCCTACATTCCTGCAAATATATTTCAATGGACAAAAAATCTGTAGCCATAAGGCGCCATACTGTTATTTACTTTATCATAAACAAATGTTTGGGGCTTTTCAGTTTATGATCATTGATCATTCAATCATTAGACAGTTATACCACGTATTGTTTAAGATTTGAGAAAACTAACATTGATTACATGAGAAGCTGTTTACTATAACCTGTGATTTTGAGTCTTCTGATCCATGAAGCTTTTTATTTTGACAATTTGACTGGAATGGTATTAAACCTTAGTATTTCAGATACATGAAATGTTGTCCCATGTCACATATTGTCCCCTTTTCTAACTGAACACCTCATGTAGAGATGTAAAGTTGTGTTAATCTACGGCTCATACCAGATTGTTTGCCATAAATTCCAAAGGGCTATTGATGTATGAAAAGCATTTTCTATAAAGTAAAATGTCTTCTTATGTATGGAGATAAACCTTGAAATTTGGCAAAACAGCAAAGTATTTTTCATGATCACTAGGTAATTTTTCTGATGATCATTATAATTTCCAAACTAAATTATTTCAGATTTACATTTAAACGAGCTTTGATCATATGAAATGATATTTATCATAACCAGTAAGCATGACACATGAACCAATTTTAACATTCATGTAATTATATAATTAAAGACATGTTGGATACATTCTGTTTGTAATTGATAATACAATGCTACTAGTGATTGCTATATAGCACACCTTGAAGAAGATAATAGTCAAGTGAAATGCCTAATAAACATTTATGGCATTCAGCTGTCCTTATCTGCAAATTTTCACTCTGATAATTTTTGCTTAAGCTTTGGCAGAAAAAAATTTTGAGTTTTTCCTCAAAAGGTGAATTTGCTAATACTGATGTGGAGATGGGTAAAGGGTTACAATAAACTTGCATGGTTTGAAGTCTGAGCTTTTCTATATCTATGAACTGTCACTTGTAGTACCAAATTTCTAACTTAACTCATTACATAGAGGTTAGAATGGGGGTCTCTAGGGGGGTCTATGCCTGACAACTTGGTAGAAATTTTTAAAGGCTATATCTGTTTTTGAATATAGCATTATTGTAAAATAAATTTTACGTTCCTAGACATGCTAATGAGCCATATATTTGGCATTATAATGAGCCTAAATATTTGGCAAAACATTCAAGTATTGTTCACTTCATTGTTTTTTTTTTGAAAAAAAACGTAACCAAAATGTGTTGTATTTACGCAAAAACGATGCCCACAAAATACATTTTGTAATGCTCTGAAACGCTGAAAATGGCATTTTTAAGGCTCTGAAATTCAAAATTTCTCAGGAGAGATAGCCTCAGACCCCCCAGGTGCAGAGCGCCTCCGATGTTTTATGACTGATGTTTGAAAAATCCTAGATCCGCCCCTGGAAACAATAGTTGTAAATACAAAGGATATTGGATTATAAATCATTAGAAGGACATAAAACAACTTGATGATGTTTCAGTCTAAAAATGGTCAGCCCGCACAACGTGTGGAAAAAATCATTTATCGCATTTCCTATGTGTTAGCTTTTATGTATGTTCATAAAAGAATGGTCAAGAATGGTATCAAGAATGGTATCAAGAATGGTATCAAGAATGGTATCAAGAATGGTCATTGAGTTAGTTAAAGTTCACAGTTCATACCACTGTTCATACACGAGGAAAAGGAAATAACATAGATCACGCGAGATTATGACATTATTAAATATATCATCATAACATATTCTAACATTATGCTTTATCATTTGTTGAAGTATTTTATCACAAGCATCGGAGTGAATTTACAATGCAACATCCCATTACAACAACAGTATGAATTTTCAAAGTATTCACGAAGTATTCAATACGCGAGATTGTAAGTGAAACAATAAATTTTGTCTCTTGTACAGATAAAATACAAATACATCCAATTATATAACAACGATACAATCAGCATGCTATCTTTAAGGCATTACTCCAGACTATATATGTTCGTGAGAAGATGCCTTGGCGTATCATGTTAAATTTCTTCTGCTATTATATCGTGTGGAATATTATGTTGTCGTCTTCAGGAAAGGGTCACCAGCTTTTTTAAATAAATACGATATTTTAAAACACGAACAAGGTCAATAATATGAACAATATTAAGACCTGGTATGTACAGTACCGACCTCGAGTAACATAACTTGACTCGCGAGTATCGAATGGCGAGTGGGCGAGTGACTTGCGATGCAGTTACGGAGAAAGAAATTTTTCCGAGTTATTTCGATTTACTCGCAAACAGCGAAATATTTTGGGTGTAGATAAAAAGCGGGCGCGGACGACGGACGCGGACGGCGGACGCAGATGTAAGACGAACGCCTGTTTGTACGAGCTTTATCTTTCAGGATATATTTTTTGACCTCATCATTTAAAGCAATTAAACATGCATATTTCAATTTTCAGTCAGTCATATAGAGTGTAACGCAATGAAACCTCATTGTATTTTTTTCGTGTTTTGTCAATGGCATTTTACTCATGTTGGCCTTACGTGCGTGAGCGTGTTCATATTTATTGCACTGATAATGATTTCCGTCAACTTGTCATTTGAAAAAGCAGTACGTATATTGCAGTTTTCAACTTGAACTTCCTTTTGAAAGCTGAGGTTAGAAGCAGTTGCAAGTTAGTCAGTGCGTCAGTTACAGCTTGAAAGTTTACTTTAATCACATCGATTGTACATCATGTCCAAACGTTTGTACTCGGACATTGTAAAAATTGGTTATGAATCGACTGATTCCAGCGAAGATGAAATAGGATGTCGTGCATAACATAACAGGTCAATTAGTACGTGAGGTTTCATTGCGTTACACTCTATATGACTGACTGAAAATTGAAATATGCATGTTTAATTGCTTTAAATAATGAGGTCAAAAAATATATCCTGAAAGATAAAGCTCGTACAAACAGACGTTCGTCTTACATCTGCGTCCGCCGTCCGCGTCCGTCGTCTGCGCCCGCTTTTTATCTACACCCAAATATTTTATCCACTCGCAAACCTCTCACACGCAACTGCATCGCGAGTCACTCGCCCACTCGCCATTCGATACTCGCGAGTCAAGTTATGTTACTCGAGGTCGGTACTGTAAGTTGGGAAAATATAGAAACCGGCTAACGATGCGCGGGGTTAAAAAACTGAAAATCGCTAATTCGTCGAAATTGTTCGTATATGTATGGTGAACGTACTTGGTGTTAGTCAATCCTTAGTTGACTTGCAAGTTGCAATTATTTCCGCCATGTTATAGTGGTTTCATACGATCATACAAGTGAATATTTTGTCAATGTAATTTGTGTTGTGGGCACATATCTCAGTCAAATATTATCAACAGTTTAACGCACCTACAATGTGATACAACCCTCTTAACACATTTTCCTTCTTTTCGAATTGACCGTCGTTCTCTACATTGCCGTCTGGATAATCTAGTTGATCTTGTGTATTAGTCTTGTCGACATTCGCATGCTTCTTGCGATTATCTTTCACTTTAGCGTTCGCAGCTGAAGCTTCCAACCAATCTAGAACAATGCCCACTGTAGAGAAAACTTTCTGAATAAAACCTGAGAAGCGTTCTTGGAAGTTTCTAAGTTCTTCCGTTTGAGGTAAGTCGTAATCATCTTTTAAAGCTTGGCCCATTTGTTTCAGCAATTCGCCGACTTCTTTTATGAACTTTTCATTTGCAATTGCAGTCCCAAAATTTTTAGTTTCCTCTATGCCAAGAGGCAGACTCATTATAGCGACTTTATCGCTCGCATCCCTGTCAATGTGAACGTTGTCTGTGTTCTCACTGTTTAGGTTTCTCGCAGCCATAGTTAGGTGCCGATTCTTTAAAAAACAGATTAATTTTCTTGTAAGATTTGTTATGAATGTAGATTTAGAAACGCATACAAAAGAGATTACGAATATTCGGAATCAGTACTGTGTTTTCTACAAATCAAACAAGATAGAATTACACAATATGGCGACGGGTTTGTTTATGTTTATAGCTACGTACGTCACTTCCTTCTATAATGCTAATTCACACGAAGAAAAGAAACACTTCTAAATTATATTAAAATATATTTTTGTCATATTATAGAAGTTCTAGCCTTTACTAAACATTTCCAACACGTTTGTTTTTACATTTCATACTTTCGTACTAAGCTATTTACTAGTTACGAAGGGGAAAGCCGATCAGTGAAAAGGGGAATATCTCATCTCTATCAATAGACAACTTGCTTTATTACGTAATATTGTAGTCACGCACATGAAAACATTGCAATACGGGCACCAAGCGAATGAGAGTTTATGGCTGTTCTTAGTCAAGTTTTTGAGTCAAGAAATACGACTGAAGGCCCTAGTTCTTTTGAGAACACTTCCCCAGGTCTTTAGGAAACTTCTAGCTCAAAAAGTTACGGCGAATCTACGCCAGACAATTCGATATTCGATATTTAAATCGATTGCCAACTATTGTTCCGAAAGCCACAAAACCTTCTCAAGCTCAACCTCGTCCAACTGAAAAAGCACGAATTAGTACCCCCTTTCCTGGAACTACGAAAGGCTTGATACCAAGCAGATTGTTTTCTCAAGTTAACTCTCAATGCAATTGCAATGTTTCCAGTTGCGTGACTACGAAGTGACGTAGTAATGCACTATTATTTTTAAATCAGTTATTACAAACAGTCTTTGACTTCTTTAATAAGGTTTTGCATTTTGCAGGAGAAAAGAGCTTTTGTTCGCCAATTCATGACTTCTGGCTGTAATATCCCGATGAAAATGCATGATAGAAATTCGAAACGAAGCATTTCGGCTCAATTCAGAAAATAACGTGGCTGCACAAATAGAATTATTTTACTGTTTGACAAGTCAAGACACGAATCAAGATATCTTTATAACTATAAATGAAATAATTCCAAATGATGACATCATTATTAGGTGAAAATTTCCCCTCCACATATGAAAGAAAAAATACCAAATGCCATCGCCCAGAGTTATTCATTTCATTAATTAAATCAGTGAAATTGTGACTAAGACTTGAAAATACATTGAAAATATTGAAAATACTTTGACATTATGGGAAAAATATTCTTATTAAAAAGACAACATGGATTATGTCAGATACCAAATGTAATTCAATTACTCGTTGAAAGTACTATTTCTTTCTATCAACAAAAAAGAGTCATATTCAGGACTTGGAAGCATATATTTTTTAAAATTACTAGTCTTTATTTATCCTGCAGCTTCTGTTGATAATCACACCATTCTTTTAGTCGTGGTAATTACGAAATGATAAGGACAAACAACACACAAAAATTCTAAATCTTATGAGCATCTTTACATAAGTTTTATAAACAATATAAAAATTAATCATGCTTATTAGTTGATATTTTCGAACGCTAAATAGTTAATTAATAATTTATACTAGCTGAAGTTAAAAATTAGAAAATATGGATTTAATTTGAGAGTGAAACAAATCTGTATCACGTTCATTTAAACGACATGACCCTACATTTAATATATCAACTAGCTTTCAACTTATTAATCTTTGTCCAACCCTGATTTGACAGATTATGAATGTCCTTCTTTCCCCATTATCGACAGTGGCTTTCCTATTTATAAGAAAGACCCTTCAAAAATTATTGTTGCATTTGAATCCCGAATCGAACCAACGCGCACTGACACGTACCATTCATTGATTGTACCGAACATGCGCAATCATATATATTATTTTTGTTTCTTAACAATGTGCAAAACATATTCTCATCAAATAATGGACTCTTTTAGACTCTTATAAAACTCAGGTAATGCATGTCTGCATCCTTCACTCGTGGAGGTTTGGTCAGCAGTGATTACTGGTATTTTCTTCCTTGGGCAATGATCTTTGAGACAGGCCCTACTGTGCAATGCTGTGTATTCAGGAGTTTGTACGAATTTTGACGATGAATTATGATGCTCATTGTAAGCTGCTAGTGCTAAATCCACCAAGCTGCACGAGCGGGAATTGGTCAACTGATGATTAGTAGATTGCAAAATAACGTTGGGACGGTAATGATTGTTTTGCGAAATGTCTCCTTCAGAGAAAGTGATTACATATTTCATGTCTTGTGACTGCACAAGGTAGCGTACCAATGACATGAGAACGGTAGCAATAAATAGAATTGCACCACAAATGAAGAAAGGAATTTCATAACTTCCAGTTTGTTTGTACAACCAAGCTACATTGAAGTTGAAAAAAAATTAATTCTTCTCAGATTTTTTTGCAACCTTACACGAAGTACAGAATTAGAGTTTGAAAATTTAACTAAGGAAATCGGAGGGCAGTTCGTCTCTAAAATTCATGCTCTTAGCCTCTTGCATACAATTATCAACCTTGCCTACGGGGTTTTGCAAACAGAGAAGAACTTTCGGACTGGCTTGAGGGTTCTTACAAACGTCTCGGAGGTTTGCATAAAACAAACAACATCTTTTATTTTGTTTTAAAACACCTTTTATTTCTTTTATAAAACAATAATAATGCGATACAGATAAGTTTAAAAAAAATGGTAAAAATTTTCCTCTAACACGTATTCATGATAAATTTGCGAATTCTCTTTGATGGTTTTAATTTAATTATCTCAGGCTGCGTCTACACAATACCGGATTCGCTCATCACGACATCTACACCTGCTTTAAAGGGTTAAATGTTCGAAGTAAAAGCTTGTTAAGCTGATGGATTTTGTCTATTTGATTGTGTTTCTGACATTGAACAATTTAACTGCCTTGTAACACAAAGAATATTCAACCCGCTACGATAGCAATCCGGTGTAGTGTAAACTGGGCCTCAGTTCGGTTTGCACTGGCTAATGCATTATGTAAGCTCAGCTATAGACCAATTAGGGTACGGCATGTCGTTGTTTTTATTTTATAAAAAGGCATATTATATTATTTGACTATCCATATAAAACATCCATGTAAGAATTTTAGGTTATCTATGTTATCATTCGAGCATTTAGAGAAAAATTGCTTTTCTACTTAGGCTTCAGTACAATCAAAAAGTGTAACATACCTGAAAAGGGTGCTCCAAGAGTATAAGGGAATGCGAGTATCCAAAATAAATGTGACATCGCATTCAAAGCTTCCAGACTGTCTTTGAAGACGTCATAAGCAATAATGACTGTCAGACAACAAAAGGCTCCGTCGAATAGGCCAAACAGCAAACAAAATGCGACCAAGCTGTCTATACTTTTGGCCAAGGTGACAAAGGTTGTAACCAGGCATTGTAAGAGGAATATTAATTGTCCTAAAGTAATTCGAGTTAACCCATACAAACCGACCAATTTTCCCAGGCCAAGCCTCCCAATGAAGGAACCGATGGCAATGAAAAGTGGAAGAATGTCTGCGTTTTTTCGACTTACTCCTTGCTGAATTGCATAATTTACCTGAGTAAAGAACAATTTCTATGTTTGAAACATACATGACAACATTATCTATAGAATTAAGAAAAATGATGTGTTATCGGGTATGATTTACAATTACTTTTGACGAAATCTATAGAATTGGTCACATATAAATAAGGATATTCAAGACCGAGACTGTAGAATCGTTGAGTGTTGCGGGGGGGGGGGAGGGCTAAAAACATTCAAACAGAGTAATAATGCGTAATCACATTTGATTTCCATAGAAACAATTAAAACTAAATGCGCGTATATGAACATGATAACCCTACTCAACCCCCCACTCTATGTTGATCTTTTGCAGTCTCTGTACGTGATCCAAATGTGGAATTGGACCAAAAATTTGATTCCTCACGTAATAACTGGTATTCATTTTGTGCGATACTTACAATATGACAGTACGGAATAAGGCTGACAAATATACCGTTGACGATTGCCAAGGCGAGTACAATAAATGCACCATTTCGCAGGGGACTTGGACCTTTTTTTATTTGCGATCCTTGAACGCTTTTACCAAAAATGAAATTCTTCTTAACGTTCTCTTCGTCGACTTTCATTTCTTCCTCTCCAGGAATCATCGTAAAGGAGAGAGCAACAAGCGCAAATGGCATGTAACTGAGAATCTGCATCGATCCACGCCAACCATTAGACCACACCAGTCCAGGAAGAAGAGCACCAATCATGATGCCACCTGCACCACTTCCTGCATGCGCTATACCAAATGCAATATCTCGTTTTTTGGTAAAGTTTCTTCGCAAAATCCAAATAGCTGACATGTAGCAAAGGTTTGTCCCAACACCATGCATGAAACTAAATGTCAGAAACAGCATACTGATGTTGGTTGCTTTCGACGAAAGAAAGAGACCTGATCCACTTGTAAGTGAACCAATACAACAAACAATCTGTACGGGAACACGCTTCAATATGCGCATCGAAAGTGGGCTGAACATCATAAGGAAACCAAAGTTTAAGCTACTGATCCATGCTAAAAAGAGAAGACAATTGTTAGGATTCTGCTATACTCAAGCAAAGGAAGAATTTTGCTCATGGACCCACTAACGATAAACGATTTGAGAAAACCTCTCAAATTTTAGGCAACATAGTTATTTCACTTGTGGATGAAACAAGTTTGATGTATATGCCATTTAAATTGTGAATCATGACGTCACAGGACGCTTGGATAAAATTTTGTCACCGGCTTCATGCAATGTTCATCTGGGTGGCTCTGTGTGCCATTAGTGTTTCTTTTAAAATGAATTCAAACACTCATAACACAGTGTGGCAAGAGTACATGCTAATTCTTATAAGCAATAACATTTCTCTCCATATTAGGTACTACGTTTCCAATTACTCGAAAAGAAGTTATGCGACATGTACAGGTAATGTTGATGAAAAGAAAAACCTTGCATTAATCTTTCTATACATATACAATTGCAAAGTAAAGAGAGTTAAAAAAAAGCAAATGAGTAGCTCACTTGAGCGGTATGAGCGGTAAAATTTAACAAAATCTACAGGAAGAATTTAGTTTCACGTGTTTTACCGAAAGGAAAAGCAGCGTATAAAGTTTTATATAAATAAAATAACAATAAAAACTCACTTTCAAATTTGACATAGATAGTTTCAATGTTTCATTAATTTGTAAGAGTCTGTAAGACTCGTGTGCACTTGTAACATTTTCCTTGACAATAGTATTTCAATTAAATGTTTGGAACTAGACTTCTTTTAGTCATAAGATACATAGCTACATTGTATACATAGATTAATTACAAACTGACCTTTAGAACTTTATTACGATGAAATTTGAATTCGACCCTTATAACGTATTTTAACCAAAAAAATTAAGATCTATTCTAACAACATTGTACGAAGTAACCATGAAATCATTTCTTTTATAAAGAGTATCAAGACTTAATTTATTCAAACGATTTTCAGCCGATAGTGAGGCCTGTTCGTCTGTTTCGCAAAACGTATTAACTCAGACAAACCAAACAGTGTCAATAAGGAATTTATCATTAGGCTTCATTTGATCGATTTTTCTGATTTTTCAATTTATAACTTTGCTATAAAATTTATTATTTGAGTCAATTATGCCTTTACAATGGTGGAACTCACTATACAGCCCATAAAAATTTCATGATGTAGTTTTCCTTTTTAATTTTTACGTTTTCACGTGCGAGAAAATGAATTTCTCGAGTAACCAGAAATCAACCAATTACTGGGTTCCAGTATTTATATTAGCCACACGTGAAATATACAAAATAAAGAACCAATTGCAACATGCCTTTCCAAAAGTGAATATTAATCAGATATCTTGAACTTATTCGTAGCCTTAAAATGAGAGCAGCTATTTGTCTGTGTTGTTATTGTATTATCAAACTAAAACTTTTTTTGTAATCTTGATAGATTTTTCAGCTCATTTGGAGATTAACTTGCATAAATTCAAAAAAGGATTCGGCAAAGCTTATGGTCACACAATTTGTTAATATTTTTTGTCTAAAATTTCTTCCCAATACTCATTGTGAAGTTGAAGCAGGTAGGCGTTATCACTGCTGCACCAGCTAAGTGGATCATGTATAAGCAAAAAAATGCCAAAACGACCACAGATTAGTTGCAAGGAAAGAACAATTTTATTCAAACAACACATAATGAGAAAATCATCTAGCTGACTTCAGTAATTGCTGTGCATTTTGGACTTCATAAAAAGACTTTGTTGGGTTCAATACTGCAACTTAATGTTCCGCGCGTAAATAAGACATGAATAATAGATTGCTCGATATTTGCATATCTTCATTCTTCAAATTTACATAATAAGGAATACTTATCGTATGTAAACAAAACAAGAATATTGCTGCCACATTTTTTGGTCTTCTCTCGTTCTCTTACTCACCTCCTTGACTCTCGCTTGCAGGGAATTCTTCTAAGAGTTCTACATACAAAATTCCAAATGAAAATGAAACACCGAAGAGAACAGCAAGAAAGAGAAACGACGCAAATGCTTGGATCCAGCAGAATTGGCTATCAACCATTGGCCTCATATCATACAAGGACTCAGGGCCAAATCAGACAAGCTAAATTATTACTTGTATAATTTTCTTTTCTTCTGTTGAATGTTTTGTACTTTCATAAAACTTTATCTCGCTTGCATCAGTTTGCTGTCGACTGTTCAATGAACTGGTTTGATAAAACCGGTGTCATAAAATATTGTTTAGTTTGAATGTGTATGCACAGATAGGCTTGTTGAACCGGTTTAATTTATGACTTTCATCAAAATTGTAAAACACGACATACAAGTTTTGTCGACTGCGTGTATATCAATTCATACATACTCGATCCATTTCTACTGTGGGCCAATTGTAACAAAATCTGTATTTTTTCTTACGTGATAGCTAATAGCTATCGATTTCAGAAAATATTCAGAACACTTGTGCGTTGGTTTCTGAATTAGTTGTGCTCTGCATTTATTTTTTAACTGTTGAACGTGTAAAAACCTCTTCATGAAAAAATTGCTCTCGCATAATCAAAGTAAAGTTTTTTTCTGTAAGTTTTCACACAGCGAGAAACTAGTGGCTAGTACAAATGTAAAATTGCCTAAACTGTCATTGAATATGTCTTGACTACAGCAGTTTGTTAAAATAATTTTCAAAACAATCTATAAACTTTTAAAAATTTGAGTAAGCGTTATTAAATTTCTCGCAAAGTAGACCCGCATCACTTTAAAATTGCTTTGGCGCATAGCAAGCTAGAACAGTAGCTATCTGTCGAAGTAATTTCTGAGTTTGTAAATGGCACGTAATTAAGTCACTTTGTTGGAAATTTATATGAAAATGATAGTTATGTGCTAAATGTTTGATGTTTCTTTGGGAAATTTATGTATAAACATGAGTCGGTTCTAAGTAAAAGAGGCACGGGTATACTACCAGAGCAATAGAATTAAACATTACGATCTTGTCATGCACTTTTCTCCCAAATACTTGGCACATTTTAAAGCTTCTTTGACTTTAAACACCAGAAATAAAAATTATACTTTTTTTATTTTGAATTTAGCCTTCACTTGCATTTCCGTTTGTTCATACAAGTTTATATATCCAAATTGTGGCACAAGGAATTCACTGACTGAGAAGCCAAAGTTCCCGACAGTGTTGTTATACTTGGTCTTTCTGAACGCGCCCAATAATTGTTGTTGAAACCAAAATTCCCAATGCAATTCGTTGTAGGATGGTATTTAATCATCTCATTATAGATAATTACAGCATTGAGAAGTAAGAGGAACATAGTTTATAGAAATAATATCTACATCTACTGATAGTTGAACCATGCAATAATGCATACATAGTGTAATATAATAGACGTGCACGTGTCGCATGCTGGATAAATACATCGAATTACTTGCAGCAAAGCTAATTACACTTAACAGTGATAACTGGTAGTGGTAACATAACATTAATAGTAACCTAGCAATATTTTTCTTTATTCAGTCAATCATTTGAATGTTTGATGTTTAGAGATCAATTCCACAATATGGAAAACTAGCTTTGAACATGATTACGATAGTAACAGTGTACGTACAATTTTCTTCCTTGATTACAAGGAGCTCCTTCACTGTAACAAAATACAGTGGGCGCCCTTGCTGTATATAACTGATGATTATCTTTCTTTATCAACAGCATTGGACTCAATTCCCTTTATGGGTACTTCCTCAAGCAAATCAACTATGTTTATGTCGTCTATATGTCATAAAAACAGCGCATTAATATTAAAACATATGTGTAAGAAAAATCCTCGGCTTATTTTTTCATAAAATAACTTTACATTTAAAAGAAATTGACGACGAAAAGCACTTATATACCTTCTGAACTTAACAATTTTGGATAAAATAATTACAGATTGGTGATATTACGCCATATCTAGTAGAGATCAAATTGAATTGCTTGCATGATATTACAATGTAATTGAGCTAAGTACATACAGTAATTCCTTCCATTAAGTCTGAGGGACTACAAAGACCCTTTAGTGTGTAAGGTAGTAATTCGGCTTTATATAAATACCTAGCTCTATTTACTTTTATTTAAAGTCAGTCACAGCCAACTGGCTTCAACCACCATGATGAACCAAGCAATCACATTCAAGCACTGCATTTCACTCAAGCTCATTAAAAAACTTTGGCTTTGAAGGACGTTGATTCAGGGGCGTAACTGTTGGGGGGGTTCTGGGGGGTGTGTGGCATCCCCCCCCCAAATTGCTGAAAACAGTGTTTTTGCAGGGCATATTGCCGTCAAGTGGCAGGGCAGTGTTCAGGAAGTAGAAAAATTGCCATACCATCGAAAACAACTAAATGATTACTAAGTGGAAATACAAGCCTTCATTTTTGACAATTTTGGCTTAATTCTACAATGCAATGTGTTTGTGAGATGTGTAAGATGAAGTAATTATAAACACAGATACAAATTCCGCTGGATACTGTTAAAATATGCTCTCATATTCTTTCTGTAATTAGTAAATAATTAAGTCAAGTGTAACTAACTAAATGATTATTTTAAGAGATACTTATGTGCAATAATCACAATATTTTTTATAGTTCCTAATAGCTTTCCGTTGATTGTAAATTAACCATATTTAGTAAAGAAACAAATATATCCTCACGTAATATCTTGTATAAATAGAAGTAGTTTAACCATTGTACGATAGATCGTAGAACATAGACATTGACGTTGAACATTAAATGTGATCATAACAGTTATCTGTAATATCTCTATTTGTTGGTGTAAGTCAATATATACTAAAGAAGATAGATGGCTACATCACAAAACCTAACAGATACAATGATTGCAAATGAAAAAAACATGCTAATGCTAATTTTTGCAGTGTCGAAAGCCGTGAAGCGAGCTTCAATCCAAAAATTTCATCAAATTCTATGCGGTTTTGTATATTTGGGCGAGAAAGACTGTTGTTGTTGTTGATGTTCGTCCATCTCAAGCGATGATGACCTTGAAAAGTTTGCTCAAGTACTAGAAGACTAAGTACGGTGAGTTCTGAGGTGGCTAATGAGCCCAATCTTGGCACGGAATGTTTTCGAACACGAAGGGTAAGCCAGAGATGCTACCTTGCAGGAAAACCTTGAAGTGGCATTAGTAGTACACAATGTATGCCAGAAAATATTTGAAATAGATTACAATATAAATGAAATTAAATGAAGATATGATCTTCGCACTTTGCTGGACAAACATTCTTTAATATAAATAAAGTTGATTCAGAGGAAGAGGAAAATACGGATGTGGTTTGTAATGTCTGAGTATGACGTTGAAATAATTAAAATAATTTTTTAAAATTTTATTTCTAAAGTAATTATATTTTGGTCTTTTTATGTTGCTGAAGAAGAATCTGTTAACGAACAAGAAGAGGGAGAGAAATCTCACCCGTCATGGGAAACTTACGTAACTGAATTAAACATATTGGCTGAAAATGTTAACCACTGCAAAAAAACTATCACTGAAACGTTGTCGTCAGAAATAGTGTTTACTCAAGGAATTGTAATGCATGTCCTTGAATACGTAAAGAAGATTAGTAACATGGCCATACGTTTACAAAGCAATTGTGAGGATATTGTCCAAGCTATTTGCAGTGAGAAATCTCAAATTGGTGTTTTGGAAGAAGAAAATGATCTTGGGCTGCTGCTTCATCCCGCCGACCGTCCAAAACTGTTGACTGATCTTCAGAAAAAAAATAATTGAGAATGGCCCATACCAAAAGTTCAATCGTTACCCTGAGAACAGTAACATTGCGCAACACAAACAACGTATATTTTCATCACTTTGGTACAAAGAATATCCCCATTTAGAGTACAGTATAAAGGCGGACTATGCATCCTGTTTTGTTTGTGCTCTTTTTCCGAGTGGACCAGGAAGGAAGAAAGCGTCAGATACCTGGGATACTGGAGTTCGATCATGGGATAAGATGAGAAGCGTGGATAAAGATAAAAAAAGAAAGATGCAACAGCATTTCTCTTTCGAATCGAACAAAATTGCTATGAGTGATTTGACACATTTTGCCTGCAATATGAAAAACGTCGATGTAATGTTGGAAAAGAAGTTAAGAGAAGTAAGAATACAAGAAGAAGAAAACATTTGCGAAACCAAGAAGTCATAAAGATCCTTTTAGACATCGCAAGAACATTAGCACGACAACAGCTAGCTTTCAGAGGTCATGATGAAAAGCACGAGGGAAACTTTATCCAAATAACAAATCTTGTTGACAGGCATAACCCTAGACTTCAATCATGGCTGTCAGACAAGAACATGAAACATTATTCAGTAAAATACCTATCAACGATTTAACAAAATGAGTTTATTAGCCTTTTGACTGAAGATGTAAGGAATCGCATCGTAAAAGATATTATTTCATCTGAAATATACTCATGGCCGACACGTCTCCTGACACATCAAACACGGACCGCCTCGTAGTGGCAGTGCGCTACGTTGACGAAAACAACGTGCCAAACGAGAGAATACTTGATTCCTCACGATTACCTATTTAACACGATGGGTTAGTGTATCAGTCTTACGACTACACAGCTTCAATGTCTGGGACTTTTAATGGAGTTCAACAACATTTGCAGGAAATGGTTGGACGCAGGGGCGGATCCAGCAATTTTCGTGACTGATGCACCACTGCGAGCGCCAAAGGCGCTAGCTCTGTAGGGGGGTCTGCGAGGATGCCCCCCGGAAAATTTTATGTTTTAGACCGTCGGAAATGCGATTTCCTGCGTTTTGACAACAGAATTTAAAAAAAACTTGGCTTTACTTAGTTTGTAAACTTTTCGCAAATTTCAATGATAGCTATAAAATCTAAAATTCCATTAACCTTTAAACATTTTCATTACTACTATTTGATTTATCAAGTTTCATACCTTCGCCAAAACTTACAATCATGAAGGTATCATAACAATCCACGAGTGATTTTGAAAAGGTAGAAGCTTGGCATATTTTTTGTCGTGAAACGCAAAGAAACCTTTTATATCTCACAAATGAAGCACAAGTTTTTGACCATTAATCACACTTGATACCACTCGTCCAACAACAGAAAAGATACGTAGACATAGCAAAGAAATGTTCACGATGTAATCATCGTACCAAAGGCAGGCAACAAGTAATGATAAATCTTATTCTTCTTCTTTTGTTGATAATACCACTCGTCCAACAGCAGAAAACGATACGTAGACATAGCAAAGAAATGTTCACGATGTGATCATCGTACTTAAGGCAGGCAACAAGTAGTAATAAATGTTATTCTTCTTCTTTCGTTGATAATACCACTCCTCCAAGAGCAGAAAAAGATACGTAGATATAGCAAAGAAATGTTCACGATGTAATCATCGTACCAAAAGCAGGCAACAAGTAATGATAAATGTTATTCTCTTCTTTCATTGATAATATCACTCCTCCAAGAGCAGAAAAAGATACGTAGATATAGCAAAGAAATTTTCACGCAGTTACCATCACCTCTAGTTCTACACAAGCAATAAAAATTAGAAAGTCTATTGAATAAAATCACTATTGACTCTATGTTGATAAAGAAAAGCCTTTTAGGGGAACATTCATCAAGCCTTAAAGTGTAATTTTTTGGGTTGCCTTTTACAATCCATAAATATTTTTTTAGATAATTGAATCTAAGCATGGTAATGCCAGTGCTATACTTTCCCAACCAAATTCATGAGACCAGCTTTCAAGGGGAGTATAAGTACGTACCTAATAGCTAATACTATGTGCCCTCCTAGCTTTAATCAAATAGCAATGGTGAGGACTTCTATACATAAGGATCAGGATGCACATATGCAAAAATAAAATATGGTGTTGTAATATACAATAAATATGTTAAAGAATTACAATATAGAACTGTTGCTCTAATATCTTTATGTATTGTGGGTAATTTTGAGATAATAATAATCATGTAAAGACAATACAGTAACATCATATCTGTGTAAATGAAATGCTTTGTTGTGTACCCACCCTTTTGTGATCATAATGTTTTATGGTAAATTTAGAAATTTGGCACACTGTGCATGATTGTAAATGAGAGCATACACTCAAAAAAACATCATCTTGTAAACTCAAGATTCCAGTTAAAACAGCAACAGAGAAGATTCAAAGCAATATTTCAACTTCATATGAAAGTCATTATCAAGCTAGGTGTGGAAGAAATAATAAGGAATTGTTGTGGCTGAAATAATATGTAATTACAGTTTGCTTTGCTAAATTTCAGGGAATTGACAATATTAGGCATGCAATTTGAAAATGAAAAACTCTAATGAATAACATGGTTGGTCCAGCATAGCTCTTACATTCAACACATTGCATAGCTCAGAAAGTTAGTATTTACAAACAAGCAAAATGTATGAAAAATGTGCCCTCTCTGTCTGTCACATTGAGCACATATTACAACATATAACATGGAATATTTAAATATCTATGAAATATCCTGAAGTAATGTAATATTAAATTATTAGCTCTTATATTTTTATGTATATTAAGTAACTTTGAAATCACAATATCCATGTGAGCAGAATTACAGTGGTGATTTCTCCAGGAAGTGCGTAGAGACTTCTACCAGTGATTTTAATCCAAAGAATATAAATATGCAGGAATACCCAAATATAAATATGCAGGAATACCCAAATTCAAACATATAGTTGTGACTAAAATGTGTTAAACTAAAATGTGATCTTATGTTATATGACACTTTATAAACTTGGCACAACAACATGCATAATTATGTGCACACTAGTTATGGCATAAATCCAAAGCATTGCATTATACTACTGGCTAAATTTCATTGAGCCAACAATATTGGACATGGAGTTTGAAAATTGACATTGTAAAATAGAATACAGTAAATTTCGATTTACTAGGTTAATGCAGGTCAGGATGCTTTGAAATTTAAATAAATTCAACAAGGAATAAACACCCCATGTGCCCCTTCCCATCATATTCCTAACATTAAAGAGAGTAAGCCATGAGCATTACATAAATACAAGTATAGACCTATAGCTATGCATTACAATGTCAAGCATAGTAAGCAGTAAGCACTTCAAGCTACTTACTTTAAAGCCCGCCAATTATCTCCCATATGGTTAGGGATATTCAACTCTGCGTTAAGATCTCTCGCCAGCTTTCCTTTTCGAAACAGGTCTGTTTTAGTCGGAATGGCAGCAGAGACTTTTGCTTCATAATCCTTTCTTACAGAAGAAATCTCGCTGGTTTAACTGTCTTGAATCAATGAGCCAAAATCGTATATATGCCTACTTTCAGCCATGATGACTTCAAGATATAAATAAGCCAAATGCGATAGTCATGTAATTATAATTTTAAAAGGTTTGAAGATTTATAACGCTGGCTCAAGTGCACCAGTCAGAATGAAATTTTGGTGTTCGTGGGCTTAAGTGCAACAGTCAGCAGCGATTTCCCACCGTGATGTAGGCTAAAAAACAATGAAATTCGTGACGTTTAGGTGGTTCACTTGGCCAAAGAGACTCGGGACTGTTGCACCAACTGGTGCACTTTTTCCCCACCGTGACGTAGTGATTCACTATCTAGCCACCGTGACGTAGTAATACAAATTCAGCTCAGTGTAGCTGGTCGGCGTTAGATCATAGGTGAGATATGCACATATACGAAACTGCGCTTAATTGCGGTCAGCAGTAACAATCCACCCAGAACTCTTTAAGATTGCGCGCTTTCACCGCGAACTTTTAAAAAACAACAATGGACTCGTGCTGTTCTTCGATTAAAATGTTTTCATGGCAGAAAGACATTTGGGAAAATTTTGAGGAATACAAAAAAGACACGCGCTAGGGATGGAGATGTGTGAGCTCAAATGCACTTTTCGGTAAGTATGTAATCATTGTAATGTCTACAATAATCACATAACTTCACGTCAGAATTCATACAATATATTATATTTAATCGTGCCGTCCGAGATTTCGATTGTTGCGATTATATAAAGCATGAATGAACAAATGATACACTTTTTCATTGCTAATTATTATTGTAGTTTATTATCAATAATTCTGCAATTTGAGAGATTAATACTGATCAAAGGGCTCATATTTTCAAGGCAAAACCATTAAAGAGGTGATGAATTCTGGAAAGTCTTTGTCAAGGGTGCAATGGAGCCTTTCCAATCCAGATGGAATTTCATACGCCTTTGATGGAATTCCATTTATTTGTATTGGAACATTGAATTATCATTGTCATCAAGGTGAAGATATTGATAAAAGTACGAAAATAAAAGAGCAAAGGAAAGAGATGAAAATGAGGTACTTACAACTCTATATCGTCACTTTTACTACACACATTTTCACAAATTTACCAGTGACAGCCCTGGTTCTTTGTTCTAACATATTTTTGTCGTTTGTTTTTTTAGGGTCACGATCACACGTTTAGAAAACGGAAAAACATTTTCAACCTACCAAAAATTGGATGTCCGAGCAAAGTATATATGTCACGGATTTTAAATTCCACAGTACAAGGTAAGATAAAATTCGGTTCATATACTTAAGTCAAACTGATGTCTAGTTTTCAACAGCAAACTTAAAATTTCTGAAGTATTAAATCCCACGTTCTTTAATGTAATATGACAATTTAGGTTGAGGTTTCCTCTGGTGCTATAAAACCACGAAGAAAAATGCAAGAAAGAACATCCTTACTGAAAACGCGTTGAAATCGTGGGAAAATCTGATTATTGAAGATACGTTTCTCTTGAAGCTTCCAAGTATGGATAGTCATAAATATCATGTGACGGAAGGAGAGGTAAAATCTTCACTAATTAAGATAAAAAAAACGGCTACATTTTTAGTAAACAAAATATACCCAAATTTCCAATAAACACAGGTAGCAGGTTTGAGAGAGCCAATAGATGCACAAGTAGTGCAAAAAATAAAAGAAATGCAAGTCATAGGTGTCCGCAGTGTTGCCGAAGTACGTCGGCATTTGGAAAAGTTTGTAAATGGGCATTTATTCAATAGTAAAGATTTGCCAGCTGAGTCAAGCCGCCGTTATTATCCAACAGACGTCGATATAAGGAACATCTTAAATGCAACCCGATCTGGAAAACAAAGATCTCCAGATGACCAATTAAATTTGGAGACAAAATTATCTGAGTGGCATGAGTTACATCCCGAAGACTTTATCTTTTACAGGGTAATGTATCATTGTCTACCTTGCGCTAACAAAACTTGCCATATTAACTCCAGTTGTATAATTTTTACTTATTTAACAGCCATTGACGGCGGAAGATGAAAACACGTAAAAGCACTTTTTATTTGTGTATCAAGCGAAGTGGATGAAGCGCCTATTATTATTGTACGGGCAGGAGATGTGTCTCATGGATGCTACATACAGAACATGCAGGTAAAGAGATGTGATGCAAATACTATTCAAGCAGGAAAAAACTGTGAACACATTTTCCATTGTGATAGGTACGCCTTGCCACTCTTCTTTTATGCGTCAGATCAAATGTTGGATACATTGTCGTCGCAGTTTTTATTCCAGAAAATGAAGACACTGGCTCAATATCCGAGGTACTCCGAATATTGAGCAGGGAAAATCCGGAGTGGAACCCCAGAAACATGATGGTGGACTTCTCACTGGCAGAAATTTCCGCGATTGAAGAGTGTTTTCCTAGTAAGAAAGAATAGCCATATATATGACAAAACACAATCATTGGTGGACATAAGGAACTCATTCAAATAAAAACACTTACTGCCATGTTAATGAATTCGTTGTACTCATGAAAGAGCGACGTGTGATTGTGTAGTTATCTAAAATAAAATAATTTTGCACTGTCAATCATAAAATGTTACCCCCTAGTTTTACAAATTTTTAAAAACATTTTCTTTCTAATTGTTAAGAAACGCATGTCCACGTGTGCGATTTTCACCGCGAAAAAGCCTGGGGTGAATGGTTATCTAAAAGTAGTAATGGTGTGAGTATGTATAAAGATGAAGTGTTGAGGCACTTGCGAAACATCGCCCAGAGTGAAAACCAAGCCACTCTTGATGAGAACATCCAGGCACTCAAAAAAAGCAGGCCATGGAAGGAATCAGTCCAACTACAAAACTATTTTTTAGACTTTTGGGGTTTATACTTAGAGGTAAGACTCACAATACCAAGAAGGAACAATAAATTATGCTCCCAGGAAAACACACATGCTTATATGCCCTTCAGACGTACATTGTCTATTATGTTATAAATATAGTTATGAATGTATTTACCACCATACTTAAATTAAAGTATTTGTTGCATTATTACTGACTTTATGCTTTAGAAATGGGTTCGCTTTTTTCGAGATGAACATCTTCGTATTGCAATTTATACAAACAATGGTATCGAAAGACAAAATAACTGGCTCAAGCACTCATATCTCGAAAGTAGACGAAATAACTCGGTGTCTGATCTGGTTGACGTAATAATCAACCATTTTTTACCTGATAGTTACAAGAAGTAAGTGATGGTACAATATCCGCTCCTTGAGAATTTGTACAACTTGATTATGATCGTCTTCTTTAAAATTTTGTAAGTTTTCTCATGTACGTATGGTAATTTTACATAGATACAAAGAGCAAAACATTCGATGTACGTCATCATATCGAGGCTACGATGATCGTGTTCCAAAGTATCTCCACGACCGACCCAGAGGTGTTGTTCAACATATCATCAGTAGAATCGACTCTGGCATCCAGATTTCAAACATTAAAAAAGAGACTCCAAAGCTTTTCATCGTACAAGGAGCAGAATGCGCATACCAAGTAAGGCTTGGCTCAGACGAAGAGTTACCATCGTGTCAGTGTCTCGACTTTCGAACAAAGAAACTTCTCTGCAAGCACATATGCGCAGTTGTTCAACAGCCAGACATAGGGTGGGAATCATTGGGCAGAAAATTCGACAAGTACCCCTGTTTACTTTGGATAAAGTGATAACTCAACGGTCTTCCTCTTCCGCTACAAAACCATCGTCAAATTCAGAATACACACCTGAGCAACACATAATAGAGAAAAGGATAGTGATCAGGTAATACATGTCAGCAAATCAAATAATAGAAACCTTTCTTACCGGAGAAAGTCTAACATACGTAAGCAATGCATCCAATCATTGAAGAGTCTTCAAGATGAACTGTATGTGGTTACAGATAGGAACGTTCTGAGTAAAGCCCTGGTTATGCTTGACGAAATAATTGCGTACACAAGGAAGAATCATCCTAATGAAGAGGGTGTATCGTTGAAAGACAAGTCTTTGTCACCTAAAAAAAAACAGGTGATAAAAAAACACAGGCTCCAAAAGCAGACAAAAACTCGCCAGTTAAAGCAGAGAGCGAAAAAAAAAATTAGTAAAAGAGTTGGTGCAGTTGCTGAAGCTAGGAGCAAAACAATTCTAATAGATGATGATGGTGGAATAAAAGAGGAAAGAAAGAGGAATATACACAGTGAGTTATCACATGGAAAAAAAGTAAAAAAACAAAGAAGGGATTTTTCAGAAGAAACAATCAATCCTCATGACTGCTGGGTAAAGATCAACGGCATTGGATTGACGTATCGGCAAAAAGAAATATTGGCGAGTAATTGCGGATGGCTAACTGACGACCATGTTGATGCTGCACAACATCTCATCAAAAACATGGAAACAAATGTTGGTGGCCTTAATTCCATTGTGACAATGACTTACTCCAGTAGATTCGCGCTCCCCCATGAGCAAAATCAAACCATTCAATGCCATAATACTGGTTTACACTGGGTCACGTCAAGCTCCATCACAGGAAAAGTCATTGTCTATGAAAGTCTAAACACCAGCTTGAATGCTTCTTTGAGACGGCAAATCATTAATTTGTACAAAGGACTTTGTCTTGACGATGGCTCACTTGACGTTACGGTGGTACTTCAACAGCGTCAGAAGGGAGGATCTGACTGTGGCCTATTTAGCATAGCAAATGCAGTCGCACTTGCTCAGGGGATAGACCCTTGCAAGATTTCGTGGTTACAGCAAGATATGCGTACCCATTTGATGAAATGTTTCAAGCAAAAGAAATTGGAAATGTTTCCACATCGTGTGAATTCTGCAGTTTGTACACTAAGTCATTACGTCATCAGTGTATACTGTGTTTGTTTTCGCATATCCCTGGAGCTGAAATGGTTTACTGCAATAACTGTAAGAATTGGTATCATCATCAACCTCCTTACAATTGCATCAAACTTTCTGTAAAGCAAAGTACAGCATTAGTAACAGATAAACCATTCTTATGTTCATATTGTGAAGTATCTTGCTAAATTTTCTAAAGAGGAGCTCTTCCTTTTCTTTCTGAATTGTTTCACAACAGTTTATTAAATCTTAAGAATTACAAATTTTTATAAGTAATGCAGTATGTGACTATCTGTAAATTTCATTAAGATCCCTGTTCAAGGAGATGCTTAGCTGTGTAAATATTGTGCACATATAAAATAATTTGACAAGTTCAGCTCTTTCTTCTAATATATGTATGGAACAAGTTAAATAATCATGTAGGTTAGTAACTATTAAAGAACATTTTTTAACACATATTAGCAAAATGACATCATAAACAGTAACATCTCATAAGAAATCGTGCATCTAAGTTTCCCAGATTCCTGACTTTAGACATATCTTTGAACTGCAAAGGTGTAATAGGCTGTGTAGCCAAATACATGAACAAATTGAAAACAGTTTGCGGGATTAGGTGAAAACTAAGGTGTTTGCAATTTGCAATATATACCATACAGTTCATCAAGATTACAATCTTTTTCACTATGGACAACTTGTTAGTTTGATAACTAGTGTTTATGCAAAATAACTCAAATTTCTGTTTTTATTACCATCTGTTGCACAGAAGGGTTAATGATTAATGATGTACTGCTCCTTTGAAAATATTAATATATATTAATATAAATATCATAATCTCATGTATATTGGTGTCATACAATTAATATAAACGTCATAACTTCATAAGGAATTTCCTAACAAATTTGTAATTTTAAAAATTAACAAATTATATAACCTGTTAGAGCTAAACCATTGTTGTTTGGTTTATGTAATATCATGATTCTTACATGCCAGTTTATACTTTTGGAAAACCTCTTAAAACATTATATCAAATGATCATAGCAAGCTTGTAAACAATCCAAAATTAATGAACAGAGGAAGTTAAGAAGTTTGATGCATAATTTAGAAAAACATGGCACTAGAATAACTAAAATTTAATATAACAAACATTTTGAAATCAGCAAATCGTGAGAATAATGATTGCAATGAAAAATGTTCATTGCAAAATAAGGTTTATTTCCATATGTGGGTTGAAATTATCTCGATTCCCAATGTTATTCAACCATACTTTTGTCTTTCAGATAGATGTTATTGTAAACAAGATAAAATTTCGTAAACCAACCTTGTAGTTCAAGAACAATCTTTGAATTCGATCATGGTTTAAATTTGTGTTGCAACATATATATATATATACGAGAAAACCAATAAATATAATACAATATACAAAACGGTACAAAAAACCGAATAATCCACGGACGCATAACGCTTATTCGCGATTTACATGGAAAGAGCAGTGAACTCCATATATATATATCTGGAATGATAACTACAATACATTTTATAGATATAAATTGAAGCCAAAGTCCTAGTCTCTTGCGCGGTTTGTACGTCAGTTCCAGTCCTTCAAAGTCGAATATTCACGCGGTTTGTACGTCAGTTTCATTCCCCTGAGTGCCAAACATACACGGCCACTATAAATTTGAATACAAACTGCAAAAGCATAAACATATAAACAACATCACGACAAACAACACACTAGGCCAACTCTTCGCAAAAGGTTATTTTTTACAGCTAAAACTTTACTACAGTGAGTTCGTTGTAACTTACAACTTGTAACGAGGAAAAGCCAACTGAAAATTACACTTTATGCTAAAAGGCAATAAATAAGAAAATATGACGAGGAAATATTCAAGCATAAATTTTTCTTTCGTCGGAAGGTAAATTTTCAAACGGTGTCAGACAGTGTTTGTCTTTTTTCGTTTCAATGGATTTAAAGATCTGTTTTTCCGAAGAAAAAAAACTTGAATATCCAGGTTCATAAAAATGTTGAATCTATAACTCGCATTTTACTTTTTACAGAGCGATTGTATCTTTCATCGATTTTGATAGTGCTTGAAATACTAAATGGTTGTCATCTCGATATCAGTAATTGAATATCCTTAAAGACTTTGATATGTTTTAAAGGAAAACCGCAGCGTAAAAGCAGATCGACTAAGTTCACCTCACCCTGCTTCTCGATTTATCACTTTGATTCACTTTCCGTGAACCTTTTCATTCCAAGAATTTCGTTATTTTTACGCTCTGATCAAGATCCGAACTCTACCATTACCAAGGTACAAATAATTTAAAAAAATTAAAATGAACACGCGAGAGACTAGAGCCTGACGTGTGATGACGAATGATGACGACAAATATTTTTTTGGCTTCAATTTTTGGCTTCGGTTATCATTCCAGTTATTCAAATGTCGAGTTCACTGGGAAAGAGTCACTGTGGAATACCGCTGACCGCAATTAAGCGCAGTTTCGTATATGTGCATATCTCACCTATGATCTAACGCCGACCAGTGCATTGAGTTCTATAATAAATAGAGCGGCTATCTCAAGCGCGGCCTTAGATATCTGATGACGCCAAAAAAATGGCGGATTTCGTCCTTTGCCGCTGAGATTTACCGAAATTGACCGCTTTTCCGAAAATTTCACAATTTCCCACTCCCTCCTGAGGAAAGAGTGAGGAAAATGTATGTGTGTATTTGGGATTCGGCAAGCAATTTTTTGATGAAAATCAAGGTAAAAACCTTAAATTCATAACAGCGAGTCAACTGTGGTTGTCAGTTATCTGCTCCTACCAGGATGCATTTATAACTATCGACAAATAACCTATATGTCGGCTACACATGTATGAATGCAGATGTGCGTCGTTTTCTTACCAGCGTCAAACTTATTTGATCGATTAAACTCTTTAGTCTATACAAAAAAGTATATCATAGCTCATCTCTACGGTTCACGAGAGAGAAGTTAGCTTATTTGTTATCATTGCTATTTTGCTTCTTTTCGTGCAATGGGCAATGGCTTTTTTCGCCACAATTGTAGGACTTTTACTTGTTTCTTTAAAAAAGTACATATTAAATCTCTGGATATTTACGGATTTTCTGTAATTGAGTTTCATATGAAATTTCAAAAAGACTCAAGTCTGCATAGGTTTGGTAAATGAAAACAAACAATATTGTATAGAAATTACTTTAAGTAACCTTTTTGTGATGTTCTGAAGTGCAACTGCATCAAATACTTGTAAAGTTGTAGCACATTTTGATTTTGTTGTATTGATATATGAATTGGGCAAAATGCAAATAATCATCAAAACACTTATGCTTCCAATGGTGTTTATAATTCATTTGTAGTTTTAATACTTCTACCTTTCTTTTTCACTTTGTTTTGTTTTTCCTATATTTGCAATAAAAGTGCACTATAATTTGAATGATTAACACAGTTTTCACCTCAATAATAAATTTCATAAGCAGTTGGTAGTGCATTTTGTTCTCTGAGTATCCACATCTGGTGTTTTGTTCATACAAGAATGATGAAGTGCAAGTAGATATGTCATAGCAAGGCAATAAAACCAAATGAATTACATACCTATAGTGTACTTTTATGCTAGAAGCTTAAAAGCTTTTAGAAATTAGAAAGTTATTGGATTATATTACCTCTATATCATCAATCTCATGATAAGAAATAAGAAGCAAAAAATTTGTAGAAAAGCTTTGAAAAGTGAAAAACTTTTCTTTAAAAAAGCAGCAATAATGCATATGATAAATCTCCATTCTGTACTCTAATAGGTAAATAAGCTCAAACTGTTTCTTAAAAATATAAG